TTTTTATTAGAATATTACGAACGCATCGATATTGTAGCGGTTTAATTGAGATTAAAGATGAAAATCACGTATTTCAATTGAAATATGGAAATATTTTTGAGGAATATTCATATTAATATTGATAAGGCAAGGAAAGCTCGACAGAAAAATTATGAGAAAAACCCAGCTTTATTTCCTTTTATTTCTCACTGGTCTCTTTCCAAGGAGAAACATGGCCGAGCGATGCATTGCTTAAAAAACAATCGGACAGTGATGTGGATGCAGCCCTAAAGTGCTGCTAGTACTGCTATAATGAGTGAGTCTCCAGCCAAATTTTCTCACCCTAACAGCTAATATAGCGGAGTTAGCCAGAAATGTTGAATGCATATCAGTAATTTTATTATTTCTCTCCTATTTCATATTCCAGCCATCAGCAAAGAGCATCAGCATATTCGATACAAGGAAAAACACCGGAAATAATACCGCTAAAATATTATAATACCGAATAATACCGAAATAATATTAAGATAGAAAAAATATCAAAAAATTTGTAATAATGGATAAATCGATTTTTTAGTTTTATCAATCTGATTTGATAATTTCTTCAAAAATTTCTTTGAAAGATCACAATTGAATATTGACCGCGGTATAAAACAAGTTTCATTACATATCAGATAAAATTCGATGAAAGAACTGCCACAAGTTAACAAAGTTTAGTTTATTTTGAAAAAAGCAACCAATTACCTGAATACAGAAAAAATAAATAAAACACCATCATCAACAAAGTACCACTGAACAACGAATATTTGCGAATGGTCAGTAAATAAGAAAAGTTATTGATATAATCTTCGGCAATATTCGTTCGGTAATAGCTTTTTTTTTTATCATGAAAACTAGTATATATTGGTCAATTTCTGAATTTTGATAAATTCGGTCAACTCGTTTTAAATCTTTTTCACTCCAGTGAATAGAATGGCATAGTGGGATGTTGGTATTTCGGTTTTGAGGTACAATTCGTGATAGGGATAAGTTGTTCTTCTTTAGAAATCCGGATGATTCTGGCGACCTATGTTTCATCCATATATGCATTTCTATAGCCAAGTGTCTCTGTGATGAAATTTGTCTTTGGTTTACGCACGAGCCTGATTCTTGAGGCTTAACTATATCTCTATATTCCGAAGCTTCTGACGGTGAGATCTCGTCTTAATAACCAACCGAGCTTAGCCAAGCCAGAAATAATGCCAGCTGTCGAAAAAAAGAGAGAGAACCAATGATTTAACAAATTAATCGATCGAAAAAAATTACTATTTAATTCAACTGCAGTGCAATTATTTGAGATGTCTAAGTACCACTGATAACGATAACCATTTCTCGCCTGGTTAAAATGTCCTTTTTTTCAAAGGAAACTTTTATTTAGGGTTAGAAATACCCACAATTCCCTACGATCAAGCTGGATTTCACTTTTAATAGCAGATTTGTCTGTCTTATGAACTGAAGCATTTTTGCTATTCCTTACTCGAAGATTCCAATTTACTAAACATCCAATTTGGTTGCTTAAAAGCCATTAAAATGATTTTGAAAATTATTTCCTATAATAATATCGTTAAAATTAATCGTTTAACTAGTAACATTTAGAAAGAAAATTATTTTCTTCTAAAATAATTTGGCCAAATTCTTTTCTTAAGTGATATCTCTATTATCACTGAAAATAAAATTAATCAAAATAAAAAAACGGGAAATCGAACGGTAAAAAAAAGATAATCAAATTGAAATTTATTAAAATTTATTAAATCATACGATGTTTTTTTTGTATTAAATGAGATAGAGAAAATTTACAGTTGTAAATTTCCATAAAAATAAAAAATATCTACGAGGAAAAACGAGAAATCCTCGATTGATAAGAAATTCTTCTTATCAAAGAAATCCTCAAAAAAATTCTTCTTTTTCCTCGTTTTTCTTATCGGATTGTATATAAATTTTGCCAGGAAATTTAATGATAGAAGTAAAGTTAGCCGCCAGGATCATTTGGATTTTTGGAATATCTGTTTGGGAATTATTCCTACTAAGAATAGAAATTAAATTTTCCGAAGTGAATACAATGATCGATTGAGCCATTTAAACAATTCTGGCTGGAAAAAAGCATTTTGTTGTAAAAATACCAACGATCAGTATTTGCAAGCAAATAAAATCTGCTCACTCTAAAATGAATTTTTCTTGAGTTCCTTTAATTAATTTGATGTTGATTAAAAAACTGAAAACCAATTTAAAAATTTCAAATTTCAAAACAATTTCCATGTTGATTTCATTTCGAAAAAAATTTTTATAAAAAAAATAACTGGTTTTTTTGTACTAAATCATCATAAATTAATTAAACAATTCGTAGTAGAATAATGAAGCGTTTTTTAAAGTATATAATTTTGGATTTTTATTTTTAAAAGTTTTTTAACCTATTTTCGGAAATTGTACGAGCTTATTTATTATTTTAGTATGCATGAAATTTGAGATGCATAAAGCAATAAATAAACAGGAACAGGTCATTCAGTGACATTTTGAAACATTTGTCGGCTAAACTTTGCTCAATAAGCTTATAAATTAATGAGTTGAAGGTGCAATTAGATGTGAAAGTTTAAAATTCTTTTTTATTCAATTGCTGAAAAGATTTGTGAAAATTAAAAATAGAGTATTTATTGTATTGAAATATTAAAATTTCACACCAAAAAAATCCATTAATATCCACGAAAAATCTGTCTCGATTAATTAAAATTCGATTGAAATCGTTCGAGCGAGCAATAAAATTCCTCTGCTCTTACATTCACCAATTTGTTCTTCAATACTGCATGAGATCAATTTCGATTTATGATAATTTTATCAGTTAGATATTTATAATATATTTATAAAATATCTATTTATTTATATTTTTATAAATATCTAAAATATCTAACTGAGAAACTCTAATAAAATCATTAAGGAAGAGTATCAACTGAAATTAAAATTTTTCTGATTTAGAGTTTTTAACTTTGGAAATATTTTTGAAAAGTATTCTGAATTCCAGTCCGACTTACGTTTTTATATTAAATGTATAAAATATTTAAATATAAAAAATTAAGCTTTTCTTTTAGACTATATTTTCACATATTATGACAATTTCTGGTTAGGTTTGGTTTACCGGACCAGACAAGTTTTGCCAAAATTTAAGATTAACAATAAAATTCCTCTACTCTGGTGAGTCTCTGATTTTTTTAAGGTAAATTTAATCCTGCAGAGAATAGAACCTCAGCACTTTCGCTCTCAAATGAGAACTGATTATTATTTGAAAATTATTTGAAAAACCATTTACTATTCAGATATTTACCGAATAGAAAGACCATTAAAGCCATCTGAAGCTGACTGGAATGTTTTTTTAAAACTTTTTCTGCTGGTAAGAAACAAATCATTTTACTGGTGAAAGGAACGAATAAATATAAACAAATATAGAAATCAGTTTTTCTTATAAGAGCCCAAGTTGTGCTAACGGCGGCTCACCTGTACCGTCAAATGGCTCCCTAATAAAGTTTATCTGATTCGATAAGCCAAGCCAGACTAGGCCAACCCAAACCAGTAAATGGTGCGCTCTCAAAAAAAGTGACTTGCGAAAGTCGAAACAAATATTAGAAAAAGATAAATCTTAAATAAATAATAATAAATGGAGGAAAAATAAATGAAATAAATAAATATTAGCATAAAAAGATGAAAAAATTTGGGAGAACTTATCAAAATTCTTTTCTTTTATTCTAAAATGGCCAAACTTTATTTGGAAATAAAGAATTAGAAAAATCTTTTTCATTATATATTTTATCAATTTTTAAAAGTTATAAATGAAAAAAAAGCCAAAAATCCAGCAATGACATAATTTTACGCGATTTAAATTAAGGTCACAACACTTACGAAAAAAAGAGAACTAATAAAACGAATGAATATGGTAGCAATAATTGTAATAATAATAATAATAATAATAATAATAATAATAATAATAATAATAATAATAATAATAATAGTAATAATAATAATAGTAATAATAATAATAATTTGACTTGATCTAAGTAACCAATCAAATATTTAAATATTTCTATTAATATTTTTTAAATAAGGCCAGTCAATGTAAAGGTCGTGCGGTAGAAAGCCGAGTGCTCGTTTCAATTGTCACTGCAAGCGTAAGGTTTTGGACGTTCTAAAGTTTTAAACCTATGAATGAAAAATTTATAAGATTTCGACAAATTGGTTTCCATATTTTCGATACATTAGATGAATATTAAGAAAGATCACTCAGAAAACGAGTTTGAGAATGAATTCCCTGACCTTTTGACCCCATTTTATTTTCGCTGTGATTACACTGTTAACCGTCTATTTACTTCTGTTTTTTTATATATGTTCGTCGATCAACTTCCGTTCGAACTGGTTCATCAATCAATGATCAATGATTTATTGTAGTACGAAAAAAGAATTTTCGAAAAAATTTCGATTCAAATTGCCGCATAAATTTGAAAATTGGCATTGTGACAGGTTTTTTCGATTTTAATCTATTCAAGTAAAAATAAAATCGTGGAATTTTTCATGTCGGGTGATAAGGTGTGATAAGCGTGGTGGCCGTGGGATTGATAAGTTGTTTGTTTTATTTTTGGCGATTTTTGACAAAAACTATCTAGTTTTGATGAAGTTTCTATCGTCGATTATTTTATATAACTTTAAAAAAAATTCCTTCTATTTATTTTCTATTTACCATTTTCATTTTTCTGATTCTGAGTAATTTTTATCAGATGATTTGTGCAATTTAATTTCGTTCGATTTGGCTCTGCTTTAAAAAATTTCGGCTCCTTAAACGCTTATGCTGCAATGCAGCTTCCTAACAGTACTGTTTACCATTTTTTCTTATATTCAAACCAGGTACCATAAATAAAAGCTCGGTAGGAACATATAGCACGTTTCCCTTGCGGAGGTTTTTGAGTATAGTAACGTAAAAGCGGTAAGTTCTCGCCGATGCTGCAATGCGTTATAGCATGGGTCTTCTAGTGCATTATACAGCATTTTGTAAAAAAATTTTTTAAGGCGATTTCTCGATCGGTTCTCCCTGTTTGGTCAGTTTCCATATTGTTCCGTTGAATTTTTGATTAAAAGGCCTATTTCCATAAATTTCAGATTTTTTTTAATGGGTAAAATAAGTAAACAAATTAAATCGAAGAAAAAATCAGCTGGTGTGATTAATATTCAAGGTGCAAGCTTTTTTCAATATTTTATTATTCTTTCTGTTAGTCTTTTGTTTTTTTTGTGTTTATTTCATGGGTTTATTTATTTTCGTTTCAGTTCATTTTATTTGCAAAATTTGGCTTAAAATGCCTTTTTATTTAGGTTCAGTTTGAAGTATTGTTTTTAAATGGAATTTGGAATAAAAAGTTCAAATTTTAAATGAAATTCTTGATGAATATTGATTTTTTTTTCATCGACTTTCAGCATTACCATTCAATACCGATCGAGGACAACATATTTTGAAAAATCCTGGAATTATTAATGCAATTGTCGAAAAAGTTCCATCAATTTTTTTGTTAAGATAATATAGTAGTTTCAGTTTTGATCCCATTCAAAAGTTGTTAAAAAATTGTTAATTTACAGATTATTTAAACATTTATTTAAGTAAGACCAATAATTGTTCAACTGGTTCGTTGGTCTTTTTCTTGATGAAATATCAGATAAACACTAATGATCAGAATAGTTTTAGCCTGTGGAATTGTATTATAGATAATCTAGATATTATTTTGATTTTGTGGATTCCATATTTTTCAATCTTCAGTCGGCTATAAAACCTACTGATGTGGTGTTCGAAGTGGGTTCGGGTACAGGAAATCTTACTATGAAATTATTAGAAAATGCGAAAAAAGTAATTGCTAATGAAATCGACAGTCGTATGGTTGCCGAACTAAGGAAGCGAATAATCGGAACGTATGGTTTCACTTTTTTTTATTCCTTCATCATAATATACAAGCAGTTTTATCTTGAAATATTCTCGAAATCAGTTAAATGGCACATTTTTGATAAATCTTTATTAGAAGTCCCAGTTTTTGAATTATTTGGAAATTATTTGAAATCAGATTTTTTAATCTATCCGTGGATTCCTGCCTATTGTCTATAAAATTATTAGAGAATAAGCCAGTCTGTTATTATTCATTATAGGCCATATCAGGACAGGCTTGAATATCGTGTCGGTGATGTAATAAAAATAGATTGGCCAGTTTTTGATGTTTGTGTTGCTAATTTGCCATTCCAGATTTCGTCACCATTTATGTTCAGATTGCTTCTTCAGCGACCATTGCCAAGGTATTGCTTTTCATTATTAATATGCAGTTTGCAAACCTTGATCCTCATTTTTTCCTTTTTTTTCTGGCATTTACTGATTTTCGATTTGTTTGATTTCATTGGCTGTCAAATAGAACAGTTCGCTAAAGAGTCATTTACTTATAGAAATGTGGTTAGAACCGTCCGAACTCTACTTTTATTGAAAAAATTTGTTCTAGGAAATTTGGTCGAACCTTAAATTCAGTCTAAACAGCATATTAATCCATCATTCCTCCCTATCGTTTCTTTCATCTCGTCATATCTACCATATGTTTTTTATCTAAAATTTAAAAGTTTAAAGTTTAAGTTTACATTTTAGATATGCGGTACTGATGTTTCAAAAAGAATTTGCTGATCGATTAACAGCTAAAACTTGTGATAAACATTATTGTCGCTTAAGCGTAAATGTTCAGCTTCTAGCTAAGGTTTTTATGAAATCTTTCTGCCTTTAGAATTGTTATATTCTCTTTTTTTGGATAAAACCCCATATTTCCCTATTTAATCAATTTTTTTGTAATCTTTATAAATTTTTTTTAAACATTACAGGTAGAACATTTAATGAAAGTTAAAAAAACAGAATTTCGGCCTCCACCAAAGGTTGATTCGGCGGTAGTGAGGATTACTCCGCGAAATCCACCACCACCAATAAATTATCAGGTTTTCTTATTTTTTTATGTAATATTTGCCAAAATATACCGAAATAGTTATTTTTTCCATTTTTCAGCTGTTTTCAGGAATGGGATGGTATGTTACGAATAGTTTTCCATCGTAAAAACAAAATGCTTTTATCATTATTTAAGAATAAACGGGTTTGTGATTTACTGGAAAAGAATTATCGAATAGTATGCAGTGCTAAAAATGAGGTCAGTGAAAACACTAAGAGATTATGTATCGCAAATTTCTACCATTTTGATATATTTGATATTTTCTTGAATTAAATGCTTTCCCTTTTTTTAAATTTTATTTTCTTTTCAAGGAATGTTTTAAGGCAATCGAGAAAGAATTTAATATGAAGGATAAACTGGAATCAATATTAACAAATTCCGGATTTGCCAGTAAACGTGCACGTCGTATGGATGTGGACGACTTTTTGAGCCTTTTATTAGCTTTTAATAAAGAAAATATACATTTTGCTTAAAAACCAGAACTTTTCTATACTTTTAATAGCAATCAATGGCAAAAAACTGTTATCGAAAATCCCGATGGAAATAAAAATAAAATTAATTTTAAAAGAGTGTTGTATAAATATCAAATTTTTTTTGAGAGATCCTCACCATTACTGGTTAAACTCAGTGTTCCACTGGCTTGTCGCAATTGGGCAATACACCAGAATACATCATTCTATATTTATATTCCTATATTCCATAATATTTTCATAATTTATTTGCAACAAATTATTATCTTTGCTAAAGTATAAATTCGTTTCTAGGGGATAGAATGGCTCAGTGGGTTGTTGTTCAGTTGAGAGTGACAATGCCGAGGTTCGATTCCCTGCAGGAGTAAGCCTGCACTTATATTTCTGTCGCCAAGGGATATAAGGGACTCCCTGGCATATCGCTCAATGTGATGAGCCAGTGGAGCGAGTTTAACCAGTAATGGTGAGGACTCTTTAAAAAAATATTTACATATGCAGATGGCAATATGTACAACGACGTATATAAAAATGCATTTAATATTATAAATTATATTATAAAGTATTATAAATTATAAATATTATATTGTATTATAAATTATAATATCATAAATTATAAAAGTATCTTTTAGATTGTAAATTCCGAAAAAGTATATTTCATAGTCATTTATTTCCTAAAAAATTATAAAATTAATGAAAAGTGGCAGTTATTTCCAGGTATTCTAACAAAAAAGCGCTTGCAATACTAAAATTAGTTTTAGTAAAACTTATTATGAAACTTATTATTTTATAATAAAACTTATTATTAAAGGCATTTAGCAAGTATAACTAAGTTGCTTCCATCGGAAATTCACCTCTTATTTGCTAAAGAAATTATTGTTGATTATATTATTGCGGTGTTTCGGACGATTCGAAATGATTATGTTTTATTCAGTTATTATTTTTGAGGTTTCATCAACTGAATGCTAGCAATAGCCTACGACTTGTTTAAGAGGAAGTGCTATATGTTTTATCAGTATTTTGAAGTCTGTATGATAGATCAGGACCTCCTTTAGAAATCTGGGAGATTGGAATGCTATCATTCAGTTCTATGTCTTGCGAACACTTCTTAGTCTAGTGCGCAGATAATGTATTAGCATTTTTTGTCGGAAAGCATGGATTTTTTCTGTCATTATTTGTTTTCTTCATCCTTGGAAACCTCTGACTGCACAGGGCTTTCTGATAATAACCAATGCACCGCAAACATTGCAAACGCGCACGGAACCAAATGTACTCATAACTTATACATATACATCTCATACATACCCACCAAGATACCAATTTACTTTAGAAAAGTAAATTGAATAGATAGCTCCCTCTCCCGTTATTTCCTTCTAAGGCCTCTCCATTTATAAATTATTACTTCGAAAGAAAAACCCATTGCTAGTTGTGCTATTTTAAGATGTTTGCAAATACTAAAAATAATTAGCTAATAGTTAATTCAGTGGAATATGAGCAGGGCAATGATCAATTCGATGAAGCGTAATTAGCCTTGGCTATGTTCAGGCTATGGACTATTTTTCTTACTCACCATTACTGGTAAAAATCGCTGTTCTGGCTTATCGCACTAGACGAGTATACCAGAGGGTCCATTGGCGATAGAAATACAGGTGAGCCGCCAGCAATGACGACAACGACAGTATCGAAAAGAAGAGGAATACAGTCATATGAAATTCTATTCGGCTACGAACAATACACCTCAGAGTTAGTACTTGGCTTTCCCGACATTTTTGAGTCCATTCGCGGATAGCAGATAGATAAATGCGAAATTTCGTGCTATTCTTACTAGGCGCAGCTATGTGACGCGGTGCAGTCTAGTCGTTCACTTCGCCATTAGGTATGACAATGGAACGAAGATATGAAAAGCGTAAACTTTATCAAACTTTATCACTGTGCTGGTCATTTATTGAAAAAAAGGCATTTTACCAGCATCTCGTCTACGTGACTGTTTCTCGTTTAATTCCACTTTTTCCAAGCATTTTTCGATTAATTTAAGAAAGCCTAAGCAATATTCTCCAGTCGTTCGATATTCTTCAACAAATTCATTTCGTATCTCAGCTGGGGGATATTTAGCTTCTTTATATGAATTCGGTTCTCAAAACGAATCTCTCCTCATTCGAGATTCAAATCGGTAATTTTAATAAATTTTAGTAAAAATTTTTTTCGTTGTCTCATAATTCATATTTATGGTATCGTGGTCACATTTTTTCCCATTTTGTCCCATTTGTTTATCCTTTAAAAGCTCGAACTTGAACTTGAGGAGCTCAATTTGGACCTGAAAGAAATTGGAACTTAACGAGGACCTCAATATAAATCTTATTTATCAACGAATTACCAATTCTCTGCCATATTATGAACCTCAATTTGAACCTGGAAAAAACTTAGAGAGTCTTGAATTTAGGGATTTAAACTTAGCTTAACTGTTTTTAATCATAGTGAATTTTATTACTGTTTGATTATTATTTCAATCTAACAGTTTATTAATAATTAAGCTAAGTTGAATTTTTGAAACGATATGAATTTTTTTAAAACAATAGTCACCATTTCTTAGATTCGCTGCGCTGAAACAAGGAAGAACATTATTAGGCAACTGGCTTCGGCTCCTTCTCGGCATAGGATATAGAGTCACTTGGCGAGAGAAATATATGTGGGGATAAAATGAATATATAATTAAATAAATATATAATTTTAATATAAATGTATAAATATATTAATTCATTTATATTTATAACTGACAAAGGAAGATAGATGGAAAGCCGAAAGTGAAAGCCAAAAGAATTCCAGTGATAACTGGAGCACTTGGGACTGTAAGTGCTAAACTAGAAAAATGTTTTCAGCAGATTCCAGGAACAACACCAGAGATCTCTATCCAGAAGAGCGCACTATTACGAGCAGCTGAGGCACCGTGCAGAACTATCAGTCTCCCAGGCCTTTGGCAGCGGTTAGGGATAATCATCCCAGGAGATGGTGGGTGGGAATGAAATTTTTTTTATTTAAATACATAGATATATACATTTTACAATATATATATACAAAATACTAATATATATACTAAAAATATAAATACATTTTATTTTTAGTATTAGTATTTTTAGTTCGTTAACTGTTGACCATTTGTCGGTTACTTGTTTTCATTATATTTATTTGGCTTTCACCGAATCTGAGATTGTTGAAAAAATGAAATCATGATTGGATAGATAGAGTTCAGAGCAACAACGAAGTTTTCTCTTTTTTCCAATGTACATTACTGGTTCGATTAGTCTTACTGGCGTGTCGACAAAAACAAACTAGTATAGAATGGCTTAATAGGTTGCTGAATTCGGAGTCGAAGTTGAGCTTATAAAATTTTCATTAAAAATTCAAGTACTTGTGACCCATATGTATTTTTATCGCCATGGCGAAAATCCCAACCATATTAAGAGCCTGTAGAATGAACCTATTAGAAATGATGAGCGTTAACCATTTGTTTACTTTTATCATGTGGCTGGGCTATGCCCCTAAAATTTTAATCATTAATTTAGCTGCTGACTGGAGCATGTAATTGGGACGAAAAAAATAATGTTTGGCGATCTCGCTTGGATTTTCAATAATAAAATATTAATTTATCCAAATTTTTCGCCTTCATTTTGATTCACATTGCTCGGAAGTTTCCTTCATTGACTTATAACAGTAAATAACGGTGTCAACGCGATTTCATTGAAAATTGGTCGAGAAATAGGATTTCTGCTTTTATAATTTTCAGTTTCATTGAATTCGTCAATAAATGGCAGCAAACAGTCTCTTGGACTGTGTTTTATCGGATATTTCTTATATTCCCGCTATAGAATATAATCGAGTAATTGTTTATTATTTTGTCAATTTTTTAGAATACTTTCTGATAAATTTTTATTAAAACTGTTTGCTTCGCTCATACAATTATTTGAAAATGTCAGAAAAGGTTCAAGTTTGTTTCGATGGTTCTAATTTTTTGAACACATATCTCATATCTCTTTTTCAGGCCGTCAGTGCGAAACGAGAGGACAGTGGTGCACAGTTAAACTTTAAAACGTGATTTTTTATATTATATTTATATTTATATATTTATATTATATATTTTATTTTGTATTTATATTTTTTATAATATTAAATTGTTATATCTTTTAATGAAATTCGATTTTCCTTTTTTTGTTGCAAAATTTTATTACCAAGAATATATGAAGGTGTGCTTCATCATCTTCAGCATACAACCTTCATCAGCTAAATGTAAAAGGAGCAAACCTGATGCAATCGAAAAAACAAAGCAAAATTACAAGGAACCGATTGTTGGTTGTTTTAAAACAACTGTGGATAGGAATCCTCAAAAATTTATTAATCCAGTAAAAAAGAAAAAAACAATAGCGTTTGGCAGAACAGTAAACATTTCTCAAACAATTGAGGTTAATTTTTTAATTTACAGTTAGATCTATATATAGAGTTTCTTTCATTGGTTATTTATTTTTTTAGGGTAATTCTCTTAAAAAACGCGACTTGTCAAGGCGAGTTCTAAGGAAATCAGTTTCAACAATGACAGAAGAAAACACAGAAGTGATTGAAGATCATTTTCTACTTTATTTTTTCACTGCTTGATGTATATTTATATGTTTGTATATTTGTATATACTTATATACTTATTCTCTTCTATATTCTATGTGTAATATAATTTTTTGTGTATTATTTTCCTTTTTTTTTAGTTCAGTAATGATACAAAAGTCGTGGAATTGCAAGCTATTGTGGATGCTTTGAAGATGGATATTGCTTCTTTAACTGAAGTATTAAAGGTAATATTATCAATACATTATAGCTCATAAAGTTTTGTAAAATATTTGAAAATTTCATTTTGCAGACATTACAGACGTCAGCTGATATAAATAGGAAAAAATGTTTTGAAAATAAGCATGATTGTAATGGTTCTATTATAAGGAAACGAAATGTTTCACTTCGAAATGATGTTGCTGATAAAGAAAATTTAATTTCCCAGGTATTATTTTTTAAGCATTTTTAAGCATTTTATAACTCCTTAAACGTAAATTCTTTTGATTCTGTTTCGTTTTCTTTGAAAGATATGAGCAAATTTAAATGAATGATTTAATGTGTCGCTATTCTTCGAAAGTTTTTAAAAATTCTACATTTTCTTTTATTGTTTTTTCTATCTTTTATTGTCTTTTATTGTTAAGTTTGCATGTTTCTGTTAGCTCAGAACTGGTCAAATGTCGAAATTAGTCGAAAAAATTTTGAATTGAAATTTGAAAAAAAATTTTCCATGGTTATCTTTTGGAATGATAGTGAAACTCAGTAGTTATAATTTGGAAGAATGCTAGCTTATATGGATGAATTTAGGATGATCTCATGGCTAAAGAAAAGTGGAAATTGATCAAAAGAAAACTTGAGCAAAGCGAGGATTTCAGAAAATACGTCAATGAAGGTATTATGCAATTCTGTAATAATCGTCGCCTAAGAGTAAAGGATAAATTTTTGCCTAACGATAATCTTCTAATGAACAAACGTATTACAAGGTATGCATTAAACGCCTTATATAAATTGTATAAGAAAATTTGATGTTTATTTATATTTAAATATGTTTTTATAGAAATGGCGACATCTGTTCGGAACGACGTAAAGGTTCTCCTGTTTCGAAGTTATCAAAATCTTTTAAAACTATGAGTATAATCGAGGAAATGACAATTGAAGAAACTCAAGAAGCTAATATTCCTTTCAATTATAGAATGAAAAAATATTCGGTGAAACATGGAACAACGCCAGGTATCTGGAAGTAGAAAATTTTTTACTTGATTAAAATACATTTCACAGATTTTCTTTTAATTAAAGTTTATTTGGGCTGAATTAGGATTTTTCGAAGTTTTGTTCCAAAACTTTAATTGGGAAAGATTTAGATATTCTTTTTGATCTTTGTTATGCTAGATGATCGGTGACATATTTTTCTTTTAATAGCTCTCACCATTACTGGTTATGCTGGCTCCAATTAATTTCGAACAATTAGTTTCCACTGGGTAAAACTGTTTCCAAGCTTCTCATCTTATACCATCGTCGACAGTAATTCCTTTCCTTTCATTCATTCCTTCATTCCTGACGTCATTCTTTTTTCCATCTAGTCCATATATTGCTGGTCCACGTGTATATTCAGGATCTTTCCTGGCTCCATCAGTTCCAAGTCTTAATTGACCCACCTCGCTTTTGACGCCAACCATCACACGGTTTAGCAAATAACGAAATATGCTTCAACTTCTATGGTGGCCGACGGAAAACGTGTTCTAACCAGCGAAGGCGAAGCTCTATTATAACATTATTAATACAGGTGGTATTTGAATGAAGGTGGATGCGATCATGTGATAATTCATCCGCTTGATGGACTCATAAAATATACCTTAAACAAAAGTGGTCAAAGGCAAATAGCTATTTAATATCTTCCACTCTCATTGGCCATGTCTCAGAGCCATATAGCAAGATCGAACGAATCATAGTTATATAGATGCGGACTTTCGATTTAATGGTAATTTCACGACGGCTCCATAAAGGCTTCGTCAACAGGAAGAACTCATTTCTAGTTGCCGTGATCCGGGTTGTAATATTATCTTTTTCTTGGTCATTTGGTATTAGAGTGGACCCAAAGTATTTAAAAACGGGCATTTCTCGACCTGCAATGAATTTACAAAAAGAGACATTTTACCAGCTTCTTGTACATAAGACGAAAAGACTTTCGTTTTTATATACATTGACTCTAAGTCCGATTCTTGCTGCTTTTCTGACATGTTATTTAGTATTTCGTCATCAACTATCAACAAAAAGGATTACATCGTCAGCGTATTCAATATCCGTAATAGGATGCTCTGGACTAATTTGGGCAGTTCTTGACAAACGATGTCCATTATCCAGTCTATCGCATAGTTGAATATTGAGGGGAAAGGACGCATCCTTGATGGACACCTGTTCTTATTTCGAAGGAATCTGTCAGCTCCCCACATACACAGACCAAGGTGCGCTCATTAAAACGTCTTTATGAGTTGAATGATTTTCTCTAGAACACCATCACGTTCCATCATCCTCCAAAGCGCTGTCCTATCAAGGCAGCTGCAAAGTCAATGAAACACGTGTCAGTGGGTTGCAAATATCTGAAGCGATCTTCTAACACCTTTCTCAACGTGAATATTTGGTCAGCACAACCGTGCCCTGGTCTGAAACCAGTTTGATTAGGCGCAGAATCCTGCAGTTACGTATTTCCATAAGTCTGTTGAGTAGCAGAGAAGCAAAAATTTTTGCTGAGACATCTAGTAGGCTGATTCCTCGATAATTGTCGCAGTATGTCCTATCACCTTTCTTGAGAATTGGGAGCAGAATTGTTTTGCTCCAATCATCTGGTAATATTTCTTTTTTCCATACTAAAGAGTATGTATGTTGAAGGTGAAGGATGATGGGCAGCATTTGAAAAGTTCAGCCCGAAGACCATCTTCTCCTGGAGTTTTATTGGCCTTAAGCTTATGGATAATTGAAATTATTTCTTCTGTTGGAGGCTGGCAATTGCAAGCATATGCTTCGACAAACGTATCAGCTATATTAGGGGCAACAGATAGCGCTTCATGGTTAAGTTTGGCCTCAAAGAATTCTTTCCATCTTATGAGGCGGTTCTTAATACTTTTGACTGGCACGCCATTGCTGTCGCTTACCATTTCACTGATCGTTCCCCGAGTTATAGTTGCTTTATGAAGAAGGCAGAATAGTTTCCTATTATCGTCTCAAGCCGCCACCTCCATTCTTGAGGCCATGTCACTCCAAGTGATTTCTGTCCCGCTGTGCTGCTTTCGTTGAAAATCTTGGAAGCACCCGGTAGTCAGGATCACCTGACATTCATGGTTTGGTAGTTTTTTTTCAGACAATTGGACGGTTGCCTAACTATTACACTTCCTACTAATATGCCCTAGCGTGGAAATGGCTGACTTTCGGACACACTCCCCAAGTTTGGACCAGTATTCATTTGCCGTGCCAGAAAAGTTATTGATATTTATATTATTGAGATGCTTCAATAATTCAGTTTGAAATGCGCTCACTGCTTCCGAATTTTTAGTTTGAGATATTTTATAAGGATATAAGGATCTTGGGTAATGCTCTTTTCTACGAGTTGTCAATTTTATGCGGATCATGGCTCGAATCATAACATGTTCAAACCCATGAAAATTGCCCGTTTCAGCATTCCCGCTTTTTATCAGCTTCTTACATATACCATTATACTGAGTCCGATTCTCGCTGCATTGTTGATCGTCAATACTAATGGCATATTATCGTCAAATCTATCATATTTTTATAAATTGTTTCGAATTGTATATTCATTCATGTTAAATTTCAAGTTAAGCCTTGGTAATCCTTATATAATTTTATTGAAAATTTTCGATAATTTAACTTCTCCACATTCGCTTGATACGAAAAGTGAATTTTTGGCTCCAGGGCGGTACACTGATTCAAAAATCAATGGTGAATTTCGCAATGGTAATGGCGATAATTGCAACAAATTGCAATACAAAAAAAATTCGAATAGAGGACAGTTTTATCAGGTTTTTTTATAGGGCAAATATTTTTTTATGTGTCAAACTTTTTTAAAAATATTGCACTATTTCATGAATCTGCTACGGTTTTTTTTATACTTTTGGGCTTTTAAGAGGAATGGATCGTCGTTTTGGAAATCAGCAATTCAGCTTCAGCCCTGACAGGTTTTATTAATAATAAGAATAAACCTATTATATAAATGAATCTGAGTGGTGATCTACTCGTACTTTTACTTATACTTGTATATCTAATAACTTTCTGAAAATTCCTGCATAGTAGATCTTCATGATGAGTCCAGAATTTCTGAAAAAAAATGGGAATCCTTTCTAAAAATAAGCAAAAAAATTGAAATTTATGATAATATAATATGTATAATTCAGGAATTAGTGATGCAAAAACAAGAAGAGACAAGATTTAAAAATAAAAATATAAGAAGGGTGCAATAAAACAAAATAAATAATTCAGTGAGAATTATTTGGATAATTTAATATAAAAATATAATATGAAGAATTTTACTTACCTAGAATGGGCATAGGCACAAAAAAACTATAAAAAACGAATTGCTGGACCAAACGGCGAGGTATCATATCTTTCATGGAATATTGTTTTTGCAAGCAATAGTGCGATGAATTATATTTTATAAATCTTTTAATACATTTCTTAATCTTTTCGTCTACAATATACTTAACTATAATTTAATTATTTTCCTTCAATTTTTTCATATTTTTCAGGATGTTCTTCACTGTATTCACGATAAATTTTATTCTGAATGATTGTCTCGGATAAATTTCAAATATAAAAAATGTGATACAATGTGATTGAAAATTTTGTTTTCTTTTTTATAATTGTTTTTTATCATAATTTTCGAAACAATTTCAGTCTTTCAAGAATATCTTTTATAAGGGGCTAAGAAAAAGAAACCTATAAAAAGTGCTCAGGTTTTTAAGCATCGTAGTTATAAATTGATATTTGAAAACAAGAAACAGGTTAAGAATTTCATTGCGTTTTTTCGCTCTCTATTTAATTCAAAGATCAAGAAAGAGAAAAAAGATTGATCTTTTTAAAAAATCAGTATATATACATTTCCAAATGTTCCATATAAATTCATCAAAAATTTATGATTATTTGAAAAAACAAATCACAATAAGTTCTAAAAAAAAGCCCATTTATTTCAGAGGAAGCATTCCTGTTTCCGGGATTTTTTTCTAAGAGTGCTCACATTGGTTAGGCCCACTCCGTTTTTTCTTTAGATGAATTTTGCCAGATAATCAGTTCGTGACAGAAATTTATGAGTCGCCACTATTATGCACCGTTTCTACTTTGGTTATTTACGAATTTTGATTGAATGGTAGAAAAGTTTCAACATCGGCGAACTAACCAACAATCATTCCTCTGAACCATTCTGTATCTCTTTGCTTTCACTTTTCTTCTTTATCGCGGCCTAACGAAATATAATCAATCGGCAAGATTCGAACTATAACCACCCTCGGTTCCTTATCAGATGAATTTCAACCCTCAGTCCTCCCCGCCTGCTTAACTCCTTGACGCACCCAGAAGAAAAAGACATGCAAAAGTCCAGATATGGTTGCCCCATTCTGTACTGTCTCATTCGCCATTAGGTGAATAAGGCGATGAAAAAGTACCCCTAAGATATACTAATCGCCATACATCGGTACAGTGCCAAATTACTCACCTTGATTTCGAATCTTGAATTTCCAGTTTCGTGTTTTTTTTCGAAATCAAATTTTTTTTCCGTAATTCGGTAATTATATTAGCTTTTTCTCATTTGGAAAAATCCTCTGTGTTTTTCTCATTCTTTCTGTCTGCTGTAAATGTCAGATATATTTCTATTCCCTTTTGCTTTTCAATTTCCTTTGAGCTATAACTCCATCAATACTTGTGAAAAAAATTTTTCAATTAAAATGCATTTTGTAAGTTACAAATTTTTTTTCAGCCAGATTTTTTCAGTATAAATCAGTATAATCAATATGAATGAGTACAGAAAATCCGTCTAAAATATCTTCAATATCTTAAAAACAAATTTTTACAACTTTCTCCGAAATATTTCTAAAAATTACGCGGATGGTGCATTTACAAGCAATCGAAAAATTAAAAAAATCATATTCGTCGAATTTTATTAAAAGAATTCCCCAAATAATGATTCAAATAAGAAAAAATTTAAAAACGACTCCGACCAACAAAACAATGTTGATAACATATAACAAATGTAAAGGCAATTTAAAAAATTTTTTCTCCACAAGCCAACTGAATGCCTTACACCAATATTTAAACCACAAATAATCGAACAACTGAGAAAAGAAGCACTACGGACGTGTTCTTTGAAATTTCGAGCAAAAATGATGAATTTTTAGTTTTTTTCATATTTTCCTATTTTGTACCGGTGGACATTTTTATTAAAACATTTTTATTTAATTAACATTTTTATTTTATTTAACTTTTATTTAAAATGTAAAACGGATAAATTATACCATATTGATATCACATCGAAAAATATAGGGATCACTCTTTTAATTTTTGCTGTTTAGCTGTTTCTGCTTCGCATGCTTCATCACCATTAGCTTTTTCATGTTTTCTTTTGCGATCTTCTAAAACAGAAATAAAATACGAGAAAAATTATTCAAATTCCTTTTTACTCTTCAAAAAATTTTTGAATTATCTTTTATTACTTGAATTTCATTTGAATTTTATTTTCAGATAGAAAAAATTACCAATCTGTTTAAGAGTTTTTCCCTCTGCAAACATTTTTGCATCTTCTTCATTATCGAATTTCTTAAATTTAGCGCCCTTGAAATCTTTTGTTTGTTCCTGACATTCCGCCCACGTTGAAAAAACACCTTTTTTATGGCCTCTCGCTACAGCATAAAAAACGGAATTGCACTCCTAAAAAAAATTAACTACTAGAATTTTGAAAAACAAATTTAAACAAATTTAAAATTCGGCAGAAAACAAATATATAAACAAATTATAACCAAAACATAACAACTTGTGAAAAACCTTTTCTTTATCATCTATTTTTTTCCCTTCATTCTTTGCCTTCGTCGCTTTCTGACCAGATTTCGCTTCTAAAAAATTTTTTTAGAAATTTTTCTTCTTTAGAAACTACTGAAAAAATTTATGATTACAGCTGTATACTGCATTCAACTTTCAATCTCGTTAATTGTTGGATTTCACTAAGAATGACTAAAGAATTGAATTTTTTTTAAATTGAATTCTTTAATAAAGTTCTTTCTTTAACTCTTTAATAAAGTTCTATTATAAAATTACAAGAAAATTATAAAATTACAACAAAAAGTAAAACATGGTTTTAATACCAAATTGAATTTGCGATAACTAACTTATTAAGCAATATTAGTTGATTTCTTCCATAGATGATTGCAAATCTTTCACGAAAAGTGAAAATTTAGTGACAGTTGTAGAGTAATGTATATTGCTGAACCATTTTCTGGTGAAATGGTTTCAATCTAGCTGTCAGTGAAATAAACCAAAGCAAAAATAGTGGCTGATGTTAAAAAAGAACTTAGAAAAATTACCAGAGTCATCTTCTCCTTTGGTGTATTTTTTAAAATAGGATTTTGCATCAGCAATGTTGTTGAATTTTTTATACATCGGCTGAGGATAGTTAGCAATCTTAACCACATATATTATCCCACTCTCATTCTTCCATCATAATTATAAATTTGTTCTTTTATTTTTTAGTTTCGTTTATTTTATTATTAAAATCATAAAAAATATTTCATAAAAACTAGAAAAAATTTAGAAATAATCGCATTCAAAAATGCTTTTATATATTTATAAAATCTTAGTTCCATTTTCCACTTAACATAAAGGCAATAAATTAATAAAATTACGTGTTTTTTCACTTCTTCATAGCTAGTGAATATACCGTTAACTTTTCCCCTCGCTACTGCATAGAATTTATCTGCTGATTCGTCAACATCCACTAAAATATTGAAATTAAATGAAAAACAATGAATCACAATAAATTAAAACAAATCTTTGGATCAATCAATAACAACAGAAGTGGTAATTGATTTCAGCTAACACTAACCCGCCAACTATGAATCTCAACATGTTCCGAAAAAAGAACGATCCTACCTCTTTCTCCAATATTCCACCTATCTACGATTCTGAAGGCTTAATCAAAGAGCTATGTCCACACGATATAGCATTCGGTCGACACTATGATCAATTATAATTTGAATAACATAACGAGTCGCAAAAATAGAAAGTACTCCTAATGAACTAATATATTAAACGTGATTTAATATATTTAACATGACTAAAATCAAATGAAAATTTTAATTTTCATCTTTTTTTTCATCTAATTTTAACCAAATTAAATGTTTATGAAATAAAACATTAAAATATGAAAAAAAACACCACGACTAAGGCAGATTTTAAATTCAAAAAAATAATTTAAAAAGATTTCATTCATCGAAAAAAACCAAATTTGGCAAAAAAAGTAAAAAACTCACGTATAACTCATATCGAAGAACTAACTTAAAGTTTGTTCAGGTTGACGTTCTTTCACATACGTCTCAGCTTCATTTTTGCTGTGGAATTTTTTATAAACAGGTTGAGGAAATCCTTGTATCTGCAAGTCATAAAAGAAATCGAAAAATTAATCGAAAAATTTTAAGCGAATCGAAAGAAAAAAATTCAATGAAGCACATAAGACAATTTTCAATTTCCTTGCCATAACTTTACAAGAATGTGAAAATTTATAAAATTCGAATGCAATGCATTCTTCTACAAAACAAACCGTAAGGAGAATTTCACTACTCACAAACTGCATAGCGAAAACGCAAAATCCAAAGCATAACCAACTTGTTCTTGAACATCCGACCAGTTCTCATAAACACCAGGTTTCCTTCCATGTGCCACGCCATAAAATTTGTCCGATTTTGCATCCGACATTGCTCTACTAAAAAATTTGTCAATATATAAACAATAAAATTTTACCATTTGATAATTAAGGCTAAGGGAATGGATGGCCAAATTATCATCTGAACAGAAATCGAGCACCATTGATCCGATTTTCTCTCTTGAACCTTTCATAAAACCGATATGAAGTGGAATGTAACCCAAACCCATTCATTCTTCTAATGTCTTCAAATTCCATCTGGACAGTGGAATAAAAAGCATAATTGGAGAATTGCTGTGAAACTTTTTATACAGCAGTTATATGGTACTTCCTAAAAAATAGGTCCAGGAAGAATTTCACCTAATTTGGAAATATTTAATCTTTCTCTATCGTGGAATTTTTGATAGCTACAATTTGATAAATCCTAGAGAATCCCTCGAAGATTATGACTCTCTTCCCGATTACAAACTAAAACAAAATAAAAGAGTACAACACAAACATAAAAATGTAAAAAGCTTTTTCATTTGCCTTGATGGTTTATCATTATTGCAATTTATTATCTACAGTTAAATAATTGAAACTAAAAGTTAACGTCTGGTCCGAACGAAAACACAAAATAAAACCACCATAAGTCTACGCTTATCACTATAAATAATAAACAACTTTCCTTATAAACATATATATCAAACTCATATATATCAAACTCTACCGAATATTACAAAAACCTAATTCTTTCAAAATCGAATAAAACAAACAAAGCGCAATTTTCTTACGACATAACGAAACCTGGTTAAACGCAGAAATTGAAACAGCAATAGAATAACAATTTCAGATTTATAAAGATACTATCGCAATACTCTAATGAAAAAATAAAAATAAAATATAAATATGGTATGGTTAGACAGCCAAGTCCTCCTAAAAGATTATTTATCAGAGAAATTTTTTTAATACATAAAACTTCCCGACAAAAAATCGACTGCACGTTATTTACAATAAATTTACCAAATTTGTAAAAAATTATTATTACATTATTAACAATAGGCATTTCTTAATCAGTTATTACAAATAATTTCACCCTAAATTTCACGGAATTGGTGAATTCTACAGATAAACCATGGAAATTTTTGGTTCTTGAACAAGCGACAATTCTAAAAAAAAAATGACTAGACGAAAGCCTTCACCAACAGGCATAATTAAATCGCCAGAAACATTAAATAATGCAAAATAACATAGTAAATATGCCTGAGCAAACTCACAACGAAAACAGAACCAATTATTGATCTATATGATCATTGATTCTAGAAAAAAAAGGCTAAAAACGGGGAAAATTCTGAAAAATCACAAATAATACCACCGAATTTGAAAAAAGAATAATAATATATCCAGGATAAAAATATCGAGGAATTTAGGAAATTATTTTCCTTTTTTGCATGATTTTAAACTAGTTAATGTAATTCATAGGTTACATATTTCTGATTTCGCTTGCCTCACTGACTATATTACTGAAATATCCTTTTATCATATAGTTAACAGGAGTAAAAAGAAGTAGAAGAGGAAATCTAGCATCTAAAAAATTCTTTCAGGACGACATTGACAATGGAAAAAAAATGGAAATTATTAAATCTGGAATGAACTTCTGCCAGAATCAAGATGAAAATCATGCCTCAAATTGAACAAAAATTGCAACAGTGATTAATTTTTCAATGAATTTAATCGCATTTTCATTTCTTCAAAGTCGACAGCCTGAATTTCTGAAACAGCAACTTGCTCAGGAGCAATAAGCGAATCAACTGCTGCAGATGGTGCTTTGCCAAGTTCACCAGCAGTAATTTCAAAAAGAATCTTGTCAACTTCGGACTGAAAAGAATAAAAAAAAGTGAATGAAAATTTTAAAACTTTCTAAAACTTAATTAAATTTTCATTGAAATGATTAATTATCATTTAAAGTGTCTTAAGAATTAATTTTAAAGTTTCGTCACCTGTGCTTCTTCTTCTAGTTCTTCTGGTTCCATACTTTCCATTGTTTCTTCAATCATTTCATCGATTATACCGATTTTCATCATTTCTCTCGATAATTCGCGCATTGTTGCCATTATCTCAGGCACCTATAAAGATGGATTCTGATAATCATAATCATAGCACAATAATGTTTGCATTATACTTTTTTTTATTCTTTTATTTTTCATTCTATTATTTCTCGTTGATTCCACTTATCAGAGAGATGAAGCAATTCAAAATTAACTGGTAACGAAGATATAGATGGATCTCCAACATATATAAAATCATATTATATATATGTATGTATATATATATTATATAAAACCCCAAATTCCTTTTATTTTAGAACTACATAATAACTTATATAAAATGAAAGCTTTGTTAATTACCTTAATTAACTGCTGCATACTTTTCATTATTTCTGTAGATTGCTGTAATGTACCAGCCATTCTCATAGTCGATAACTGTTGTTGAATACCCATTATCACCGAATTAATTTGCGCTTTAGTTGCATGAATCTTTGATACAGCCTACATGAAGATTATTCATTAAAATATATGAAAAATAAATCAAGACAAATCTGAGAAAAAAATTAATATTCTCACTTTATTTCAAAAAAATATTTGAACAAAAAAATTAGCTGAAAATAACCTTTCTCGATTGAAGCATAGATTTTGCCAATACAATGCAAACATCACGATCACCTTTCTTCGCTGCTTCTTTTATTTGTTTTTTCACCTATAAATTAAGGGCCATATAAAAATATCATTTTTATAAAATTTATAAATCAGCAAATCCTTTCTTTTTACTATTTAACAGGATAACTTTTAAGACAAGACTGACTTCCCAACGAATATTATTACTAACCTTTTTTAATAGTGTATAAAAAGTGTATAAAATTTATGAATTTTAAATTTATGCATTTTAAAACCTAGGTTCCAATTCACACACACACCGACGCACCATTCTCCTTCGTCGGGCAGTGGTGTCGCCTAATGGAGAAAAATAAAGAAAAGCAAAACGACTGAGAGTGGTTGTTGATGTTTTAATGCCTTCCGTTCGAATAAAATTAAATAAATAAACTATTATATAGTTCTATAAATAAAATATACATAAAAAATCCTTGTGGATTGTATGGGTCATTCTCACCTTGGGTTCTCAAAGGCCTGGGAGTTTGAGAGTTGTGCAAAATTCTTAGCTATTCATAGCAAGGCGCTCTTCTGAACAGAGATTTCTAAAGTTATTCTTAGAATTTTGAAACCATTTTTATAATAGCGAAATGGCGTCATCTTCACAAAGGTGATAGCCACTTCTAAAGACTATTTTGAGCTGACTTCAGGATCATTTTCCACAGTTCCATCGAGTTCTTTGAGGCTCTCTCGACTTTATGCCAAACATTCATAAGTTCATGCCGCATTCAGTCATAAGTATTCTACAGTTAATCCATGCTGTGCACAGATTGGTCTGTCGAGATTTTCAGTCTTGAAAGATTTATCTATGAGCAGCTGGTGTTTGGATTTTCTGGTATTGTTCCTAATGCCATTTGGAACTCCACTCAGAAACTCAGTCTTGAAATTTGATGGCTATGATGGCTATGCCTGACAGCATCTACACTATGGAGAAATAGGTTATTGGTCAGTAATTGGACAGTATTGGTCCTTTATAAGCATTTTTTATGATCAGTACTGTCCTTTCCTGTAGCCAGCCTATAACGGTAGATGGTTCAACTGCGTTGCAGAACATTCAGAAAACTCTGGAAGTTCTTTTAGCCAGTAGATGTAGATCATACTAGGTGCAGTTCAATCTTTCATGTTTTTGAGTCGCTCTATTGTAATAATAACTGGTTTTTTCTTGCTTTGGGAATTGCTGTAGCTTAATGGGGTCTCATAACTATTTTGCATTGGTGTTAAGACTCTTCTATATGTTCTTCCAGCAAAGTTTTTTCTTTTGTTGGTAGCTATGTTGCTACCATATTTTTATAAACTAAGAATATACTCTGGACGGATTTCTGGAGAATAGTGCATTTGCCTTTCTATCCTCTGTTTCTCTAATGTATCTCTATAACCTATTCAATGCTATAAGTCTTTAATGTATTAAAATTTTTTTCTTATGCCAAATTTTTTTCCTATCTGTAAGTGTCGATCGTCCTCATATTTCTCGGGTCCTCTATCACAGACCTGGAGGGGATTGAGGGTTCTGCGCAGGATCTTAGCTATTTCTAATAATTCGTTCTTCTGGTTAGAGGTCCCTGATATTCTTCCTGGAATCTGCTGAAGCCACTTTTTTATTTTGAGGGTCATAGTTCCAATTCGCAATGCTCCGGAATACTTTGGCCTTTATTTTCCACATTTTCTCTAGTTTCTCCTTCAGCTCTTGGTATTTCTCCAGCTTCTTATATTCCTTCTTCCTGACGCTCCTGTCGCTTGATATTGCTATATCTATTACCAATGTTGGTTCCTGATTCTTGTCTATTACCACGATATTTGGTTGATTGCCCAGTATTTGTTTACTCTGAATGCAGAAGCCCTAGCCCCACAGGATCTTTGCCTTATTACACTTCACGATTTTCTGAGTCTCCCATTTAGTCTTTGGAGGATTTAAACCATATACCTAGCAGATGTCCCTATAGAGAATGCCAGCTACTTGGTTATACCTTATAGCATAGTGTAAGTTGTTCCTACTTGCTTTTACCCTGCCAACTGTTTCTGAGGCAATCTGCATCTAGAGTTCTATTAGAGTTTTATTTAATTTGGTAGATCCTTGTTTCGATGGAACTGGTGCTTAGTGCTTGTTTTTATGCTGATATAATCAATACTTCGAGGATAAAATTGCTCAGTGGGTTGTTGTTCCATTGGGAGCGACAAAGCCAATGTTCGATTCCCCGCAGAAATAAACATAAAAATCCAGGTGATGCTGGTGACTCTCCTGTATTTCTATCGCCAAGGGAATCCCTGGCATATTAGCCAATGCGACAAAACAGGGGAACGAGTTAAACCAGTAATGGTGAGGACTCTCAAAAAAAATCAATGCTTTAGTATTGCCTTTATGACCGGCTTTCTCCAAACACTGGTTGGATTCCACAAGGATTTCAGCAATCTCAACTCTCCGTTGATGGTTCGTTTAATTTAATTTATTTAAAACATGAAATATATTTGTATTAAGTCTATGAAGGGCCTTGTTTTGCCATGGTATTTTCTCTGATTGATTGTTCTCCAGTATCAACGTGTTTCAGATATTCTCTCAGCAATTGATCCTTTGGTGCCATCTTGCTGATATATTTCTGAATGCTTCGGGTTTAATTCATGATAGTGGCTTTCACATTCACCAAGTTCTATGGAGCCCTTATCCGCTTTTTTTCTAGCAATTGGGTTTTGGATTTGGAGTGGGAATTTCCGTGCATTGTAAGGAGTTTTATGGTCTTTACAAAAGCATGTTTTCCTTTGCTCATCTTACAATGCCAGCCGCGTAACTGATGACTGATAGAGCGTATATATTTATTGCATGGATTTTGTTTCTCCTACTGCGCTGGCTCTTCAACATTTATTTAGTCCTTTGGTAATATTTAGGTGTTGCAGACTTCCTTGCCTCCTCGTCGTGATTACCATGTGATTATAGGACACCAAAGTAAAGCCTGCATACCCGCTACATATCCTGATGGCAAATCCACCCCATTAGTCATCACTACATTTCTTTTTTTTAATGCCATCCGACCACATTTCTCTAATATCCGAATAATATCCCAACGTCCTCATTATAGAAGGGAGTAGAATTGCTGTGAAGCAATGGCCGCTTTGATCAACGCCAAGAGTCGTTGGTTCGCATTTCCTACCCTTTGACAGGAGTCATGCAGATCGCGCTGTAAGTGTTTGCCGAGTATATTAATAATAAATAAATAATAAATATAAAGAATACAACGAGTAAATTAATGCACAGAAATTAAAAGATTAGGAAAATTTTCGCTTTGAAACGACGACCTTTAAATTAATACTCTTTCCTGCATTCGTCTTGAAATCTTCTTTGGATTTCGCTCCATATATGAGTTTTTCGCTCCACGATTTATCGCTAACAAACATTCAATAATACAGAAATGATAAGGATAAATCAAGTGAACAACTAGTTAACTGTCTATTTCATCAATGAGAAAATTGAGATTAATCTTCCTACAAATTTTATATTTCGTCAAATCTCATAATTTATGTGGCTTTTCAGTTCTAACGAGAGATTTCATAGCTTTCAGTGAATAAAGATCGAGGCTATGTCGTTTTGTCTTTGCCAGATGCGATGTAAATCAGTTAAGTTCCCCTTATTTATTAAAAGTCAAAGAATAGTTTATTTATGGAATATTTTGCAAAATAGAGGAACCTTGATTTCTTCCCGCTCGATTGCGTGAATCTGCCTATCGAGTTGACGTAATTCTACTCGCATTTTACGTTGCAGTTCACGCACTTGTTCTTTTGTATCAGGTTTTTTACTTTGCCCAAATATTCCCATCATTATAAAAACACAATTTTATCGCGCAACTTTTCTTTTTGAATTCACCTTCTTCGATAATTTGTAAAAAATATCTGAAAAAAGTACACAGCGTGCGTTGGGCAAAAAGGAGGCGAAACAATATACAAAATTCACTTCTTGTAATACGCTACGTCAGTTGGCTATATGGACCAGACAAGGAGGTCTTCGCGACGGAAATATAGGTGAGCTGCGAGCGTCACTCCAAAAATTTCGAGGTCAAAGGTCAACTAGAAGAGGGGCCCCAGATTATATCTCCTCTAATCCACCCCGAATGTCAAAGTTCAAAAAAAATAAGCCAAAATCAAACCGACGCGAATAAAAAATAGAAGCGGTAATTTAAATCATCTTTTGGACGACTAAGATTCGGATTCGCACTGCTCGATACTTTCAGGCGTTAATATTTGAAATTGAGGTAAGCGAACGCTTTACAGTTTCGTCGGTGATGGAGACATCCAGGTGGGAGGTCATTTCCTTATTATATCTTATCATTTAATCTGCCGTTTCTGTTGATCGTCTTCCCTCTTGATGTTGGTTGTTTAGAATTGCTTTCATTTCAGAAGTCGACTTTCGTAATTTTAATTGAAAAGGAGCCTTAACAGTGAAATTCCTCGCAGCCAATTGTTCTTATATTATTCTGCAATTTTCTTTTTATTTCCTCTTTAAACTACTTGTCATTTTTTCTATTTTTCTTATTACTAAATTTTATTATTCGTTATTTTTACTGTTGTTATTAATGCAAGAAAGCGGCGTTGTCGCCCTGCTTGGCTGGTTTTCAATAAATAAATCTTATTTGTTTCTGTCAGCGTTTTTTAGTTTTTTAATTCCACCAGAATTTCAAGAAATCAAACTCGAAAACCTCGCCAATCCTTGTTTTCTCCTCATTGCCTTTCTTATTCCCTAGAAATTGGAGTGTCCAGAGTTACCAAAACATGGGTGAAAACTTTCATCTCACTCAGATAAATTTTCGAAGCTTTTCATTACTTGTTTGTGGTTAAGACTGGTTAAGGAGGAAAAGAGTTGTGCGAAAAGAGTATCAGTACGAATATTAAATTTCCGAGCGGAACATGGACGAAAAATAACATCGGCATGAAATTGGTCAATCAATTTGTTCGTTTCGATTACGAGCAACAATCCTCGACATTTGGCCCAAATTATTTGTGAGGGGAGGGGTAGGCTAGAGGGGTGCATCGCTGTTCTTGTAAGACTTAAGAAGAACGAGGTATCATTTGTTGCTAGTAGCTTTTAATTCAGCTGACCTTAGTTTTTTCCTTATTCGCTCTGTTTATTGTATTGTATTTAATTCATTATTTACAATATTTGAAGGGATTAGCAGCTGATTTTTTGAGAAGAATTCTTAATTTTTTCTTCGAATAACAGAGTCTCACGTGATTTGTGATTCAGTTTCTTCATAAAAGTTTGAATTAATTTACTTATAGAGAAGATAACAATGGATAGCTTAACCGAGGATCAAGCAGCTCTTTTAAAACATTTCCAAGTAAGTTTTTTAATTTTAGTTTTTCTTTAGCCGAACAATCTATATGTAATGTAGAGAAATCGATTAACATCGGTAATGTGGGATAGAATAGCTCAGCGAGTTGTTGCCTCATTTCGTGGACGCCAGTTATGTCATTCTATTCACGACAAGAGTCGTGAAAACCTACCTTTTTGAAAAATTCGTGTGGTGTTGACGACTCATTCATATTTCTGGGATTCCTTGGCAGATATGTCTGGTCTGATAGATAGTCTACGATCTAAGCCCAAAAAAAAAAATTCAAAGGCGAAATCATTAATGGAATTTTTTTGTGAAAATCATCTCATAGAGTTTTCAAACATGAAATGTTATATATTGAAGGAGATAACTGATATCCAAGATGAACACATTGCGTTGGCGACTTTGGCATCACTGGATTGGGATTTGACGAAAGCAGTTGAAGCGAGCATCAGTAGCCATAGTCCGGATGTTGTTATTGATAATACCGAACAAAGCGAAAATAATAGGATTGTCGGCAGCTCTCGCGAAGAAAGGTGATTTTAAAATTACCTATTTTTGCGAAGCAATTCCTGTAGTTCATTTTATTTTTATTTTGATGTATCTGGTTGTCTGAATCAGGTTTTGTAATTAACAACTTTTCAAAAAATGAGTTTAAAAATTTCCTTATCACTTATTATTTTACTTAAATTTTTTTTCAGTCCAGTATCTGGTATGCTTTTGGATGATCACGATTCATCTCCTATAATAATTGATGATGCTGATGAAGATGATGTAGAAACTTTCCGCACAGATATTGGAAGATCGTCAAATCGAAGCACTCGATCATCAACTTTTAATGGTATTTATCAGAAAGAATTTGACATATTACTTCTCGAATTGGTTATATAAATAATCGGAATAAATATTAGTAAAAATTTAAATATTTATTGAATATTTGTCGATGTAATCGTTGTAATGGAGAAGGTAGAATTTCTTTGCTTCGAATTTATTATCCAATACGTTATTAAAAATTCATAACTTTAAGGTGCTGGTCCAAGTAGCTCATCATCAGATTTACGAGAACATATGTGGCAGGGTTCGCCAAGTTCGCAAAATCTCTTCCACAGAACAACACGAAATATGAATCGAGTTAGATATCCGCGCCATATAATGACATTCACCGATGTGAATTCTGATACTGATGAGGATAAAACATTTGATTCAGATATGCAGTTTGATGTTGAGGTAATCGTTGAATATCTTTTAAGTTTGATGTTTAACGCGAGATTTATGTAATGAGAATGTCGATAATTTGTATAATTTAATTTAGGATCTCAAAAAAACAGCCAATCGCCCTCCTCCATTGGTGCCTGTTGAATTCTCTTCTGTTACAGATGCACTTATCAATTTTCAAGCAGTTTTTGAATCTAGGTATTTTTTCAAGAAACACATTATTTTTATCGAAATATGGTCAGGAATATTTGCAAGTAATCATTTGCCAGTTTGGTCACTTCTTGGTATTAACCATCCTTACACTGAAGTTAATCAGATCATGGAGTTATTTATCCATTTGTTCATGTTTTATCGCAGAACGTTTCATCGTTGCAGGTATGGTGATAGACATCCTCAGTTTTTCATCGGAAATCTTGCTGATGCACTTTCTGAAGCATTCGAACCAACTAATGGTAATATATTTGAGCGTCGACCTTTGGCATTATACATTCATACGGATCGATCTATTGCGAGCAATATTTTTGCAAAACATGTAAGTTGAGGCTATAATTTGTTGTAAAGTTTTCATTTTCAGTTTTTTTAAAGTATAAATTTTCGAAGTTTTTATTCTATTTTTAATTTTTTATTCTAGGTTCTTTGCTCAGATTCTGTTACTGCATTACTAAATGCTCAATTTGTTTTATGGCCATGGGATATAACTCATCGACAAAACAGGCAACTGCTTTTAGAATTCATGAGTTCGCCGAATATGCGTGATGCGAGAGACGCATTGGTTAGATTATTCAGGTCCAGGTCTAATTTAATTTATTGGCTTCAAATTCTTAAGTTTTATTCTTAATTATTATTTAAGGATTTCCGTAAATTTTCTGAGATTGTACGGTTTTCCACATTTTGCCTCTTTCCTAGGAGGTGAATGCTATACCATTGAATGTCTTTTGTTTATTATATATTTTACTGTTGTTGGCTGAAAAAAGAATATAACAATATAAATAAGAGGGCAGAGTGGTTGAGTTTTTTTACCTTCAGGTGATAATAGATTTTATTTTCTTTCTGTAAAATCATGAAAAATGAATCGGATAGGTTGCTGTAGGCTGAGCCATTCAACCTCACCTTTCAATAACTTTGGCAGAAAAATCTTGGTGAAATCCACCTAGATCAGTAAGCCAGGAATGTTATGTTCTACTAGAAGATGGTAACAGTTGAGATTTGTTAGCTTATTAATAGATGTTGTATAAAATCAGTATATTTTTGCAAAATTGTTAACATATTATTGTAGAGTACCAACAAATCGTTTTCCTCTTATATTGGTTCTGGCTAAAGCTAAAGGAATGGTACAGAGTATCGGGTATGCATGGGGTTGGTTTTATGAAATTAGTTTTTCGAAATAATAATCTTTATTTATCTTTATAATAAATATTTTTATTGTTTGTTCTTATAAATCATAAAATAATTGACCATAAATTGAAATTTTGCTATTCAATAAATATTATGATTAGAATAAATTTTATAAATTATTTGAAGGAGTTGATAGTCATGACGAATTTATTAATAGTTTGATGGAAATATTGCAAGAAAATCAGCAAATAAAGCAAACAGAAAGAGATGAAGAAAGGGAGCGCCTAGAACGGTGTTTTTTTCTTATATTTGATATTCTAATTTATAAATATTCGTAAAAACGATCGATGAATATTTCTTTCTATTTTTAGTTTTTTGAGAATTTTATTTTTCTGCTTAGTTTTTCGATTATATTTTTTCGATAGAAATAGGATTTTCATTTCTTTTAAATTGTGAATATTTCATAAGATTTTTTATGAATGATGGTTTAGAGAAGAAATTCGTCAAGAGCAGGCCCGTGAATATGAAAGATCGTTGGCTCAAGATCGTGCTCGTCAAGAGCAACTTGAACAAGAACGAAAAAGGCAAAGGTAAGAATGTGCTAAAAATTTTGCCCTAGCATAAATTAGGACTGTATTTTAGTCAATATTTATTTGATTTAAAACTTTTTCGAAGCGGTTTCAAATTACACCTGTCTCAAAGGTCATTTTTGCTTGCATTTCTTTATGCAACTATGATTAGAAGAAAGATATTACCGATTACGGTCAAGAATTAAATTAATTTGAGAGAAGAGGAACAACGACGCATACAAGCAGAAGAGGACAAAGTGCGCCGAGCTAATGAACTAGCGGCATCTTTGCCATCTGAGCCGGATGCTTCAGAAGAAAGTGTAACAATAAGATTTCGATATCCTAATGGTCAAACAGAAGATCGCAGGTGAAAATTCAATCCAGTTTTGCAATTTTTTAATTTCAAATCGAAAACTTCAGTTTTAATCTTCTTCTAACAACTCTCACCGTTGAACTGGCTTCGCTGGTTACAAAGGTAAGACGTCTCTAAGCTATTCGCTCTGATTTTATCGCTGATAATAACAGAAGCAGTTCCTAAGTCCATATATCGCTGTTCTCCCTATACGTTCAAAATCTTTCCTGGCTGTATCAGTCCAGATCTTGATTGGCCCTCCTCGCTTTTGACGCTATCATATGGTTCATCAAGTAGCAAAATACGTATTCAGCTCTTGTGGTGGGTGAAGAACGTTCCTTAACCATCGAAGACGCGTTCTGTGGTGATACTCAGATACCACTTACAAGTGATGAAGTAAGTGGCGGAGGGTTGTTGATATTTAAAGCGATATTCCAGCACCCTTCTAAAGGTGAATATCTGATCTGAATCCAGTTTGATTAGGACCCATTCTGCTCTGTCATATGGTGCCTAATTTGCAGGAGAAAATTGGGAATTTTTCGGACCTCAATGATTGTCATATTATGGCCTTTCTTTCTTCTTTCATCTTTCTTAGGAACTGGGAGTGGAATTACTTTGCTGCAGTCATCTGGTATTATTTCATCCTTCCACACCATAAAATACATTTGTTGAAAGTGTGATATGAAGCACGATGGACAACTTTTGAAGAGTTCAGCCCGAAGACATTCTTCTCCAGGAGTTTTATTCGCTTTAAATTTCTGGATAATAGAGATTATTTTTTCTTCTATTGGTGGTTCGTAATCGCAAACGTATATCTGGAAGAGCGAGTCTATATTATCTATATATGAGCGAATCTGTATCCGGCGTAACAGATGGCGCATCGTGGTTAAGTTTGGCCTCAAAGAATTCCTTCCATCTTACTAGGCGATTCTTTGTATTTTTAATAGGCACACTATTGCTGTCCCATATTATTTCACTGATAGTTCCTCGGGTTATAGTTACTTCAGTTTTAATGTATGTAATTGCACTTTTTTTTAAATTTTAGTTTTGTCTTTTTAATTTTATGGTATTTGTATTTTCTGTTTTTTTGTAGGTTTCGTAATTCCGAGCCACTTCAATATCTTATTACTTTTATCGAAGCAAGGGGATTCTGTCCTCAAAGTTTTCGAATTTGGAATTCCGATTTGCCTAGGAAGAATGTGGTGCGTTTCACATTTTTTTCCATTTCATTTACAGTTTTTTTTTACAATTTATGCAGCATAATAATATAGCAAAAATGTTGTAGGTAGAAACCTTCAACTTACAAAAAACATTCGCAGATCTCAACTGGCCTGTGCGGGAGCAAGTCACTGTCGAAGAGATTTAATTTTATTTTTTCTTGTCTATTACATTTGTCTTAGTTTTTTAAATGAAATATAATCTAAATTGAACAGGTAGTATGACAAAAATAGTTCAAGGACATAATGGATTCACTGAGATGAAAAAATTTGAAGCAGTATGACTTTTGTTGTGGATATTTTGGATTTTCACCGTTTTTGCTAGTTAAACTTTCGGCAATTTTCGACATATTTTCCACTTTTTTATTGGTGGAAACTTATGGTTAAATTGATAACCCGTGATAACCCAGCAATAGAGTCGTTAGTTTTTCAAGAAAAATCTCCCTACTATAGCTCAATTTTTATTATTTAAGTCAAATTTCTTAATCGATTTTTTTTATTCAGGTTTTTAAAGTGTACTTAGGGATTTTCCGTTACCAGAATGTTATTTTTTTCATTTTTCATTTTGATATTCGTTTTTGTTTTCTAATCTTTTAAAGATTCTTTCTTTCTGCATACTTCAAATCATCCCGCCCATCATTTTTTATAATTTGCAAACTTTAATTAACTTTGGTTGGTTATGCAAACTTTTGTAGTTAAAGATGGTTTGGAATTAGTTCTCTTCTATTACGCATTTATCTCTTTTAAAGCAGCTAAAGCTTTATAACTACTTTGTAAAACATGTAGAATTAATTTTGCCATGACTATGTCGTGCCTAAATAATCAAACGTTCTCGTTCTCGTCGAAGTGTCTTTAATTGGCATTGAAAAATTATCTATTTATTATAATATGGAACTGTATTTATATTTCATCATAGAATAGGCGACTAATTGGTCGAAATATTCACTAATTTACTAATTCTAATTTATTAGTAAGTTTTATTAAATTATTTTTTTGAAGAATTTCTTTTTATCATCAGTTATTTGTTATGCACATCAAAAACTGAAAGAAAATTAAATGTGCAAGGCCATCTTGTGACATTTTGTTTTCTCGTTTCAGGTTCAATTCATCAAAAATATGATAATTGACAATATATAGTAATTTCAATATTAATATACTTTGTACTGGTTATTGTTGCTTTTTTTTATTCTGTTGTTGGGTTAAAACAGAATGTTGAGCGATTTGAATTTTAGACGACACGATAGGGAATAATGCTGGCAGATGAAGAATGTTTTCTTCAAACGTGGTAATGCTACTAAAGTTTTTAAAGTTCGAGAAAGTCTGCTGGATTTTAAAATTTAAATTGAATTATAAGCAAAACTTCACTTTATAATTTGTGTTTTAGCATTTTTTTTCCTATGAAATGCTTCTCTTGAAATTGTTTTTATTTAGTTTTATACCTTTCCTTGCTCTTTATGTTTTATTGCTGGCGCGATCGTTTTTTGTCGCCCATCAGAGTTATCACGATTTGTTTATTTTTATTTGCGAATGTGCTACGTTGATAAATATTTAAATTTTTGTTTTTAAAACGACTACTCGGCAGAAGTGAGACGAAGGGATGATCGCAGAATTTTTCTGATATTACGATTTAATTAGTGAGGCTTTCTACTTCGCTAGGAATTTGTACAAAGAGGCACCGGAAAACTAATAATGGAAAGGACAAAAGATGGCGGAGTGCTGGTTCGTTCGAAGGCCATTGGCTCAATTTATATCCGCTGGTGGAATTGAAGCCTACTCGATCTTTGATTTTGCCCGAAAGTTAATTCATAACAAATTTTGAGATATTTTGAGCATCGATTTTAAAATAGGGTTGTTCTTCAGTCCATAATTGGCTACTATTTTTATCGCTGATCATACCTCGTTATGTTTGCTCAATTGGATTAGATTTTGCCAGGTCATCACTTGAAGATAAAAATGTATCAGTTCTCCCAGAACAGAACTAGATAAAGCGGTGGAGTCTTTCTTGGAATCAGTTATGTCCTATGTGATTAATCTTTTATTTAAAATTCGATTGTTTAGAGGTCGTCCACAGTGCTTAATTTTTCCAGTGTTCGCTTTTATTGTGCTTAGGAAACCTGGAGAATGTATAACGCCAATTTTTGAAATGTGGAAGGTCACGGCCGTTTTATTAGCGCATTATTTAATTCCAGTATAAATCAGTGCTGACAATTGCTTCAGCTTTATCATGGGAACATCGAAGAAAATTTATTACCTCCACAAAATGATAATGGTTCTTTGGCTTTATAAAAGAGAATCTAAGCTATCACCACATAAATTTAATGTTTAATACATTTTTGTTTGAATTATTTTGGTGAAATCCTTTTGTGACGCAAATATCCGTTCAGCGTCCTCAGGTAGCCTGCAAATAACTGTTGATGGGGAACTTGGTCTCGATCTCGGGATGTTGAGTAGGATAATAGAAAATCCTCCAGAAAATGTTTTGAACATTTTCGTTAAATTTGTAGAGTCTTCATAAGGTCATTTCTAGATTGTTGCAATATGTATTACTCGTATAATTTATAAAGTTATCGAAAATTTGCAGATAATTATATCTTTTAAAATCCAGCATTCAGTTATAAGTGCAAATTAAAACATAAGAGATAACCTAGATTTCTTGAAATTTAGATTCAATAAGAGTTTGATACTTATAAAATATTAGTTTTTGAGTTTATTAAGTTGATTCTGGCGAATAATATTTTAACTTTGGTTTGAATAGAAATGCATCAAGAAGTAATGAAATTGTTGGTAAATAAATCTGTTGGCAGTTTGCGACTTCTGTGAGCAGTCAAAATAAATTAAAATAGAGAACAATCTGAACAAATTTGCATATAAACTGAAATAGGTAGAATTTTAAAAAAATTGGGAAAAAAGAATAAACGATTGCGAATATATTTAATATATTTAATACAATATAGTTGAGGATGATTTATTTAAGAATTATTGTGGATGATGCGTTAATTAATAAAAATTTTTCTTTTAAATCTTATATAAATTCTTTTTTTGTATAAATTTTTTTGACTTTTTGACTTTTGGAATTTTTAGTTACAACAATGGTGTTCGAGCTTACAAAAATTTACAAAATATTTATGGAGTACAAATAATTTATCAAAGAATTTTGAAAAAAATGTTGCAAACAAATAAAACTGAATTGAGGATGAATTATTGACGAATGAATTAGTGACGATTGAATTTAATTGTCGTATAAGATGCTGAAAATTTTTGAAAAATTTGAGAAATTTTATCAATGATCGATCAGCTGACTTATTGAACAAAAGCTATTTACTATGGAAATGGTTGAGGGTGATTATCACTGAAGCATTATTGAGTTCAAGAAAGTATGGATTTCAAAAGAAAATAGAATGAATAAGATTAACACATTAATTCACCTGCTGATGGAGTACGATGACTTTATTGGTGCTGAAAAATTATTAGGGCAAAAGCCCCGTCTGAATTCTGCTTGACTTTTGCTATCATTAGCATTCGCATTATTGGTACCTTTTTCAACAAGCATTCGTCCACAGGTTCCATAATGCCGTCGGTTATTGCAGGTCGAGCGAGGTTGCATAGAGCCTGTTCGGCGATATCTGTAGGCATAGAATTATGCGAATAATGTCGGAAAAAAACTGTAGAATCAGTAAAATCCGAGTCGAATTTGCAATATTTGCTACTGGCGAAGTATTGCTGAACGAATCAGGTAATCATGTAATAATTAAGTTTTTTGTAAATTAATTGATTCGAGTTTTTCGATACACGGTTAAAGGTATGGAGGTATTTTCAGCGTTAGCACTCAATTAAAAACGACGTTTTGCTGAATTTATTAGGCAATAAAAATGAGTCCACTGCGTTACCTGCTCATTATTTTCGAGACACAACTGTGTGTAACACCGATTATTCTCGCAATATGACTTATTTTATGGCCTTTCTCGTAGAGATCCAATATTTTTCGACGCTCAGACATAGCTAAAGGTTTTCCTGGATTATACGACCTTCCCAATTTGTTCTTCGCTGAAAACCTCATAATTATAATTACTGAAAGTATTACCGTCGTAGGGCTTTTAAAAAAATAATTTGATACTGTTTAGTTGTCGAAAATTTGCTTTGCTTTTGCTTTTGGTTTTAATTTGCATCTATTTTTTATTCGTGAAAATTGCTTCAATGACTTTTTCCCAGTATTTTGATTTTCTAAACTGTATTGCTGAAAATGACGACGAAATCATTGTTCTACGAACATTATAAATTCCGTACATCCATCCTTATAAATCCCGCAAGGAAATTAGCTAAAGAATCGCAATTCTCATTACTTCTCACTTCACCCAGAAGTCAAAAAATTTATTAAAGTTAAAGAAACTTTTCATTTTTCCTAATAGAATAGAAATTAAACGAACCATACTCACAACTATTCGCTGGGAACTGTTTCAGTTGTGGTTTGTCACAAACGATTTCTTCAAAATTACAAACATCATTAAGGAATGAAAAATCGGCCAATAATTTAGTCGATGGAAAAATTGGTACTGGAATGCGATGTAAAAATTCTTTTCGATCTTGGATTGTTCTTGACAGAGATGAATTCGATTCAGTTAAATGACCATTGAATTTCTAAAATAAAAGTCAGTGCAGAAGTTGATAATCTGATAATCTTCGAACAAATTTCTGATTAGCTTCGCTCCACTGGCAACATATCTTTCATTGCAGAGATATTTGGAATTACAAATAGGTTCTCCAACAAGCAGAATGAGAATTTGGTACTTTAATCCGTCCTACTTAATTTAATAGAAAATTTGGATGGAAGCAAAAAAAGCCTAATTTAGTAGATTGTTGATATATACTAGGCGTCATAATGATAATGGTGTTAATGCATGTTACTAGGTAACCACTTCAGCCATAAAAAATATTTGTGAATGAGCCATTTTGTTTTAGATGCTACTGCTGCTTTTACGGGCATTCAATGACAATTGAAAATTTTTTAATACGCTATTAAATGCAATTAGATCAAACGAAATCCAAAATTTTATTATTATAAATAAAATTTTCACCAAACTTCGGCTAATCTTGTTTCTAGGAATCCAGATTAATCCGTTTCTGAAGAAACGGTGTGATGAAATGGAACAAATTTATTTCGAACCGCTTTTAGTGGTCATTAGACGATGTTTTATTGGCAAAAACATTAGTAAAAACAAGAATCGGAAACTAGCTTTCGCAATGATCGTTTCATATATGATATGATAAGATGACGAAAAATCGCTTATAGATAGATGCGAAGGATGCGATATTTTCGATGCACCTTTTGCTATAAGAAATAAATTGATGATGTAAAAAATAGTAGGGCGATAATATTAGGGAATTCGAAAACCCGTTATGGTGGCGGCGACGGCTAATCAGAGAATTTGATAAAATCACAATGGCAGAATTAAAAATAATAAAGTTAATAAGTTAGTAATAATAAAAAATAGCATAAATATTAGTGCAAAATTTTAAACCCATTTTTTTTTATATTAAATTTTTCAATTTTTATTCGATTTCAACATATTCAATTTTTTTTATTAGAATTAATTGTAAAAAGAGCAAATGCACTTTCATTGTCGTGCAAATGGAGATTTTATTCTAAGAAATTCGCTCATACTTTTGTCTTGCAAGCATTAAATATATTAGTTAAATTAATAGATTAAAACTGCATTTAGAGAATCAAATTGAGCCGAAGAAACTCTTAGTGAATTGCCAATGCAAGCAATATTGAAATTTAAAATAATCATTAGAGAAAATTTTTATAGAGAATCCTAATTTTGAAAACTTCATTGGCATTTCTTGCACCTTGTAATAGTTTATAGTTTTGTCTGTTAATATCTTAATAGCCTTCATGTTGAATATGATATAGATTACCTTTGGGATTCTCATCAAATCTGAAGGATCGCCATTGAATTACAATGTGAATTTTGTTGTTGCCCGAGACCCGAAGAATAAATAAATGCAGATGAGTCGTAATTTGCAAAAAGAAAGTTCAATTCGGCAAATCCTTTGGATTTAGTTCATACAATTGCGATTAAATCATAGTGAAACAATAAATGGGAGAACTTTTCTTTATTTGTCAAAGCTAATAGAAACTAGAAAAATTCTTAAGATGGTATTTACAAGTGATTTTAGACTTGTTTCAATTAAACTGCTCGTAATGATGAAAACAAATCGTGCGGAATCTTTTGGATCTGCACCAAAAGCAAATTGCCCTAAAATGAAACCAAGAAACGACATATCTAACATTATCTATTTTTTTCTAAGAATGCTCACCATTTTTAGTTAGGTTCGTTTCAATGATTTGTCGGACTGGTCAATTTTTTGTCACAGAGCCACTTGACGATAGAAATATAGGTGAGTCACCAGCATCATCTAGTTTTTTGAAAGGCAGGTTTACTCCTGCTAAAAGTAAAATTCCTACACATCATCAACAGAAAAATGCATAAAATATTTACTGATTTTCATATTGAAACTTTGGCTGAGCATTCTTATCTTATTGTTGATATTTTGACATAAACAGATATGAAATAATAGGGTAAAATTTTAAGGATTTTCCTTAAGGCAAAAACAGTTCGAACATAACGAAATTGTTCTAAGCTCCAATTTCATGTAATCAGTGGCTATTTATTGGGAAATTGAGAGTTTTGAAATAAAAGGCGAATACTAACACTTCATATGTTTATTTACCTAATCTGTGATAAGTGCCTATCCATCAATTAATTGCAAATAATTTCATAGAGAGAGAGAGACCTTAAGCTCCACTTAAAATAATGTAACTTGCAAGGTTTGATCAAACAGCAGCAGTAAGTACAATAGAACATTAATCTCCTTTGGCAATGTTCAATTTTATTTTAGAAATTTATAGAGACATATCATTAGGCAATTTATTCCAATAACTGATTGTAGAGGAATGTAGAAGAATGAATAAGTTATAAGCTTGTCTTGTCCAAAATAAGCTTTAATAGTTCGAAGCCATTTGATTCGTTATGTTCAAATTCAAACTATGATCCTACAATAGAACCATCTATTTTAACGAGGCTACGCAAAAATTTGGGCACTACTACTATGCACTATAACTAGCATATATTTTTGCTTTGCAATTAATGGTACTATCAAGATAGGAACCTGTGGGCGAATAAATACTTGCGAATAAATACTTCAAGAAAGAGGATTTACATTTGGATAATCTAAATTACTATTATATTTTGAGAAATATGCTAATAAATTATAGTGGTATTTGTCAATACGAGTTGATGCGGAAAATAACTTTTTTATTCAGTTTCATATAGCAATTCTTTCTTTTCACTTTTATTCTTTTCGACTCTTCCTGACTTTAAAATTCATAAATTAATTCGTATAAAATCCTAGATTACTTTGAAATTTCTATGAATTATCAAGCCAACTTGCGTTGATTAAATAAACTTAATTTCATGCAATGTGAAATGAATCGAAAAGCTTTCTGCAAAATATTTCTGTGGTTCTAACTCGAAAATTTCTTATGAAAAAATTCTTTTTAAATCGTAACTCTCAGATTCAAAATTTGAAAAATTTAGGAAATCCAATAAAACTTACTTGCAAAACCATTAGAGAGGAATAATCCAGCGAGTGCCATTCGGAATTGGCTAAAGGACGAGTGGGCACAGGTCTCGGAACGGTGATATTTACCGTCAAGGCCATTAATGTCGTTTTTTCTTGTCTTCCACCTACTACAATATGAATGAGACACTAATCTTGAAAAAAAAAGTCAGCCGAATATTCGCAAAAAGAAATAGAATCTCAACCAGCGATAAATGATTACTGGTAAATTATTTTTCTAGTTATTAAATGATAATAGATAAAACCGAACAATTCAACTTACTAATTTGTTTAATAATATGCTGTGTTAATAAAGTAGCATAACACGTTTCAGAAACATAAAAGCTGTGATAAAGGCGATTTCTTGCTTGTATCGCATTTCATTTTGCAAAATTTATGATCAAATTAAAGCTAACAATTTTTATCTGAGTTATCAAGAAATATAGTGATAAAAATTCAAATCTGAGGCAAAAATTTGAAAATTCACCGGTCGGAAGTATAAAAGAAGGAAAAGAGGGAATATAACAAGAATTATATTTGAAGAGTTTTCACTCTCACATGGACACCGATGAATTTGGATATTTTTTGTTTTTAGAAATTTATTACGTTTGCTAAAAAATATTTTATTGTCTTTTGGTCTAATAGCGCTCACCAGTTCGACTCGCTTCAAGGATGGCGACGGAGGAAAATTTTGCTAAGAAATGAGGAATCAGGCGATAAAAGCAAATATGAGTCGCCCAGTAAAACTTGGAATTAAAAGAATTCATTTAAATTACTGGGCGAAGAACTGAAGCAATAGAATAAAAATAAATGAAATTACAATGATAAGCAATTAGAAAATGATATTTATCTTTAAAAGGGCTAAATAAACCGAATTCGATAAGGCCGGTTGAACGATTTTTATTCAGCGCGTTAATTTCATCCCCTCAGGCTTTTCAATACCTTTTATTATCAATTTTTCTCCTTTTTAAAGTCATTTCTTTTATTTCTTTATTGTTCGCTGGAACATTTCATCAATTTCTGCCAATTTCTGCCAGCTTTATTCATTTCACATAAAATCTTCGGTTCAAAGGTTAAATATTGGACCTTTTTTTAAGCTTATCAAATGAAAAGATAAATGCTCTCAAGTTGTTAAGTTGTGTAATATGTCTGTGAATATAAGAACAAATTTTTCTAATTAAATATTTCAATGAATTTATCATAAATAAATCAACTCGCTCGTTCAGCTGGTTTGTCGGATCGAAGAAATTTTGCTTAAAAGCCATTTTCCTAGAGGCTTAAGTGGGCTAGCAGTACTATTCGTATTCGAATGAGACATTTCTGCTGTCGAGAGAATTTAGAACTCTAACATCAGAGATGAGCCCCGAAATGAGACCAACAGCGCACTGAGTCATTCTCAAACTTTTTTTAGCATCTAAATTTTCCTCCAGTTAAAATATAATCAAACAATTCTATTTAATTATATTTTCCATCAGTATGTAAATTATGAAATTATATAAAAAATTACTTAACCAATTTTCAGGTCGTATGATATGTCGAATTCTTTTTTTCTGAACATCCACTTCAGAGGAACATAAAAACTATGAATGTTCTTAGCAGGGTGGTGGTGATGACCCATTTATATTTCTATTCCCAAGAGATTTTGGATTCCTATCGTGATAATCAATGCAGCAAACCAAGATAGAACTGGTGCATGCAACAATCTCCATAACAGAGAATAAAATTAGTTAATAGTTATTATTTGCCTAAAATCATTATGACTTGTCATGACATATGCTTATTTTATGAATCTCTTTTCTTGACTCTTTTGGTTCAATCGTAATAGCGCTTCATTCGTTTTGCTTAAATCATTTTGTTCTTGCACTAATTTTTTTAAAAAGTTCAATAATTAAGCCCAGTTGAAATTCCAGCTTTAATAATTTTCTCAATATAATATGGAATAATTTTTTTGAGTCTTATAACGCTTATCACTTATCATATTTTCTATTTTATCTTATCTCATCAAAAAAGTATCGTAAGTAAATTCATAGTATAAATATCTTTTCTAATCGTTCTTTTCGAAAAAATTTGAATTTTTTGCAATTTTATAGATTTTAATTGAAAATAAACTTATGTGGATGAAAAATTTCAAATTGAACGCAATAAAAAAAAATTCGCGGTTTTGTGTGCTAAAAAAAATATTTTTATATTTTAAAATATGTTTAAAATAAGTTTTAAATATGTTCAAATTTTTTGGACCAAGCAAATTTTATAAAAGGATTATTTGGCGATAAAAGCACAGATGAGTCGTCTCCATAGTTCGTCCGCGTTTTTAAAAAGTTGGCTTTCTCTTACTGGGAGTTGCCTTAGCATCTCGAAAATGCAAGCAACAGTCCACTAAACCATTCTATTCACTTATTTACAAAACAACAGAATATACTTAGGTACATAAAGAAATAAAATAAAAATGATACTAGCTAAATTAGTGGCATTTTGCATTTTTTTATTTCATTTTTAATTTGTTTATTTATATTTATTTTTTTAAGTGGGAATATTTTTGAATGATTTCAACCATAACTCTTCAGAAATTAATTAGTAAATTTATTGTTTATTCCGAAGCAAATCGCATTATTTGTTTATAAAATTCGATTTTTCTCGAGATAGTGAAAAAGCACAATAAAAAAAAAGCATTTCATGGAATGTTTCATGAATTTATTTGCTATTTGATTAAAATTTTGTCATTTGCCGTACTTATAAAACTATCATCTTCATCATTTTATGTTCTATTAAAATATAAAAATATTTTTATGTTTTTAAAAAATAAAAATATTTTTTATTTTAACTATTTATGCCGTCATTCTTTTATTCCACCATTTAAAATTGTAGTTATTTTGATTTTGTTTACAAAAAATTAATATTTTGCTGTTAGAAATATATCTTAGAAAAATCATAAAAGCTACGATCATCTATCATAATGACATGTTTGTGGCACCTATAATTTAAAAATTCTCAAATCTCTTCTCCAAATAATTGAAGCTGATTTGATTTGTTTAGAACTAATGAAATGATATCACATAAATTTTGATTTTTTCAGATTTTCGCTAAAAATGAAATTCGTTAAAAACTCTAATTTCTCACAATTGATATATTGAGTTATGAAACATTAATAACAAATAAATTTAACTTATCATTTTTGATTCAGCAATTTGCCAATGTTTGAGAATTACTCTACGCCATTTTTAATTTTAAAAGAGATAATGGATATAATCTTTGCGAATATCCCACAAATATTATTACTATATGAAGTGAGATTCCAGAGGAACTATGTACTATACAACTATCTTGCGGCGAATAATTACATAGAAAAAATTTAATAGCAGTTCTATTTCTATTTCTTACTAACGTTTATGATTGGTCATTACCTGTCGATAGTGGCCAATCAATTCCTTTTTTATATCTTGAGAATACTGTATGACGACTTGTTAAACTGTTAGAAACTATTAGTAGGGCTGATTTGAATAATATTCATGAATCTCTGATTATATCAGTGAATATGTTGTTTTGAGAGAGTGTCTGAAGAGTAGACATTGGAGAACGATCAAGTAGAGGAAATAATAAAGTAATGGTAAAGTAAAATCCTCTTTTGATTGCACCATCGGAAAATTGCTCAGGTAGCTGGCACAGTGGAATTCTACTCGTGAAAGAAAAAGAAAGCCGGATTAAAATACAACACTGAGGCAGTGATTATTGCAGCATCAGATCCATCGAAACAAGGATCTACCAAACTAAATAGAACACTAGATGCAGACTGTAGCTATAAAACTGCAAAAATACCCTAGAAACAGTTGGCGACAGGGTGTAAAAGCAAGTAGGAACAACTTACACTATGCTATAAGGTATAACCAAGTAGCTGGCACTGTCTATAGGAACATCATCTGCTCTGTATACAGTTTAAATCCTCCAAAGACTAAATGGGAGACTCAGAAAATCGTAAAGTAATAAGGCAAAGATCCTGTGAGACTTCTCCATCCAGAGAGACAAACAAATACTGGCCAATCAATCAGATATCATGATAGTAGACAAGAATCAGGAATCAACATTGATAATATCAAGTGTCGAGAAGATGAAATATGAGAAGTTGGAGAAATACCAAGAGCTAAAGGAGAAACTAGAGAAGACGTGGAAAATACCAAAGTAATTCCGATGATAATTGGAGTACTTGGAACCTTGAAACCCCTAAAATAGAAAAGTGGCTTCAGCAGATTCTAAGAACAACCTCTATCCAGAATGCACTATTAGGAACGGCTAAAATATTTTGCAGAACCCTCAATCTCCTAGGCCTTGGTAGAAGGTCCGGGAATGACCATTTTTACCCATAATTTTTCCGATCGTTGTCTTGATTCTTGGAATAAATTGTCCAAAGAATAGTTTTTGCATTATTAAGCCCAGTTTTAAAATTGAATTGAGCGAAGTTATCCGTAGTATTATTATTATTTAATATGCAAAAATTTCTCCAATTTATTTTGGCTAGCGAAACAATTTTAAGCGAGGTGGCATCTTTATTTATATTTTATTTATAAAATTCTCAACGTGATTATTCAAGACGAAGTTTTGTTTTAAGACAACAAACTTGAAAATAAATAAAAGTATCGTTTTAGATATTCCACGTTAAAACTTGAAGCGTATTACAAAAACCAAAAAGTAATGTTTGTAAAATAGTTTATGATAAACTCAAAAATTGAGAAAGTTAAAGCAATATTTCCAAATATATATTTGTGAGTTTATATTTATTTACAAATATAATTTAGTTATCTAAATTAATTATTATAAAATCACCTTAGAAAAGTGCTTTATTTTTGCTTAATATCATAAATAATTTAGATTTAATTTAGTTATTTATAGTCTTACTGAAGTTGAGAGAATCATTGTAATTGAATCAGTGTTATAAGAGGTGATTGCCAACCCTGAACGCTTCTTCACGTATATTATTATTATCATTATCATTATCATCATCGATGCTTATATAATCAATTTGTTAACCAGTTTTTGTTGATAAAAAGGAAGAAGAAAAAAATTGAAAAAAATTTCAAACACATCAATGCCATATAACTTACGAATAACTCATCAATTTATAAATTTAATCACATAATTTTCATAATGCTGTCCATTTAGCATTTATCGAGGCGTTGAATACAAATTTGGTTATGAAGAAGGTAACCCTGAGGCAGCTTAGTTGAACATTCAGGTCAGCCAAGCAATAATCAATAAACCGTATAGCTTTAATCGTTGATCAAAAATCGGGAACTAACTTCATTGCTATATTTGCCATGGTGATGATTTTTTTGAATTTTAGGAAACTGTCGTGGGGTTATTGCCGGATCCCTCGGCCTCGTCTTCTGCTTCCTCGGCCGCGATGCTGTCCACGATTCGTGATAGACGATCTAGAGAGCTTTTCTTGACCAACGTTCTCTCTGAAATCTAACATTGAAACCGTATAATCATTATCAAGAAAGATTCATGCAAGAAGTTGTTAATTTAATTAGAAATCCAAGAATAATTCAGAGCTTCAACTAAATTCCAAAATAAAGATCAAGGATTTAAAGGAACATATAAGGGAAACGTTGACCAGTTTTTTCAATCCTTCTATTATGTCGGGATAAGAGAATGGAACTTGTAATCGATGGTGCAATCTTATGCCCAATTTTATCACTCTGAGCAACTTTATTACTCGCTTAAGCAAATTAATTTCTATTAGTTTCTATTAAATTCTATTCTATAAGCGAATTAGTTCTTTTTTTATGGCAAATTTAGGAATCTTCTGAAAGTATCTCAACCATATTTTATAGATGATAGCCACGTTTTATAGATGATTGCAGGATAGTCTAGTGGATAATGATTTAAATTATTGCTTTGAGAGAAAAGAATTCGGATTTTGTTACGATACTAAAATATCATTAAAAAATCTAAGCTGACCATTTAACTTGTAACAAATGAAATGAATAACAAAAATTTCTATTCTAAAGATTATTAAGAGTCAGTGTAGACAAACCAGAAGTGGTAAATTTTATCCATTTAGTGAAAATAACTCATTCAGGATTTTCAGGATTTTCTAATTTTCAATCTTTTTCAATTTGTAATTAGCTTGTTAATTCAGCAAAATTTATAAGAATTAAAATTTATAAGAATTACATTCCACAAATTCAGTGGATAAAAAATTTTTGATTTGTTTTCTAATATTTATGAATTCAGCGATTTATGAAAGTTAATAAAGAAGGCGGAAAGAACTTAATAAGGATTTTAAAAATTTTTCTTTAAACCTAATTCACCTGAATCGTGCAGATTATCATCATTTGTTACAGTTGTGAATTCTTCTGCATCTTCTGAATAAGGTCCAAGTTTAGAATCATAATATGTCGCTCCATTATTGTTAGCGACATGCACGTTCTATAAACTAACATATTTTTCACATATATTTATATATATTATATATTATTATTATATTTATATATATTGGAATTTATTCTGATTGGTTTGCAATTTTAAACCAAAATTTTTCCCCATAGAAATCGTCAGTATAATCAGTGAAAGGATATAGCGTTGATGATCGGTAAGTAAGCAGTAAGCAGTTTGTGAAAGTATATAAAAGTTTATAAAAGTAATTAAGTGAGCCATTTTAAAAAGTGATATAATGGGATTTTAGGAAAAATTATACATTAGCATATGAATTGGTTAATTTTGCATATTTGGATGGTCCCATCGATCTATTTAGTTGCCCATAATTTTTAACATTTTAACATCTGCAGAATTAAACTTATCTCTTCAAAAACCTGGATAATGACCTACGTGTATTATAACCAAGTGGCTATCTAGCAAAATATGTCTAGTCCACCAAGTCAGCGGAACCTAATCGGAAATGATGAGCACTATTGAAAATTGAAGTCTAATCCAATAAGTTTCTTATAAATCGTTAAAAAAGATTATAATAATGAATTCAATACGCTGATTTTTAGACAATCAATCATAAATTTCTTCGATTTGAGCAATACTAGAACTAAAATAATAAATAACCAGTTGTCATCGACATAAATCTCTGGAAATACTTCTTTTTTCGATGGCGACTTTTGTGATTTCATTAAATTTATTTATTTATTAATCATTGTTTTCGATGAAAAAAAATGATTTTCAACTGACGAGTTTCGAATTTCCCAAAGTCATTAAGAGTTTTTCGGAAATTGGTCAACAATTTATGATTGCATATCCGAAAAAGCAGCTCCCTCTTACCCATCCTCTTTTCTTTATTCACTAACAATCTCAAACAAAAAAATCTGCTTCATTCTTTTTTGTCTTTTTATTTGGCATTCAGTCTGTTATTTATTATTTAAAGCAATATAAAATAGCCATTAATAAACCGAGCATATTTTCCTAATTAAGAAAGAAAGAATTTGAAAAGCTACAAAATAATGAAAATGTCAAAAAAAAGTTAAATTAAGGCTTTGATTTGTAATATTAATGTAAATTAATTTGAGATCTAAAAATCTCATAAATTTAAGATCGACATTTATCCCATAAATTTTTCTTTGTTGTTATAATTTTTCAAGTATCTGAAGTAATATAGAAAAATAGTAAATGGTTCTTTTAAAGCCTCATAATGAAGGTTTAATTTTGGTTCAGTAGATTTCAGGAACAGCATCGTAAATTTCTGCCCAACAAAGCGCAATTAAGATTCTATGTAGAATTGTGTAGAAAGAAATCCCAAGCATTCAGGCACATGGTCGAGGATCCGAGTTTTAGAAAGGCCTATACTACCCACAGAGAGTGAGAAGAGAGTTTTTTACAAAAAAAAGAATTTCATTTTTTCGCTGCCTGTGGGTGATAGGGTCATCCCAGAGGCGAGGGCTCTCCACCAGAGGCAAGGGCTCTGAACGTGCGCATTTCTGGGCAGAGATCTCTGGTGTTCCTGAAATCTGTTGAAGCCATTTTTTAATTCGTGGATGGCAATTCCTAATGCTTTAATTATCACTGTTTTGGCTCTCCACATCTCTATTTTTTCTTTTAGCCACTGGTATTTCTCTAATATTCTTTCCCATATTCCTTCTCCATCTATTATTCAATCCAATCATTGAAATTTACTAATTCAAATTCAAAGAAAAGCTGATGAAAAAAGCGGAATTTATGGTTTTAGACATCTCAAATTACTTACAACATAATCCTGATTGTCGCTTTCAGGTAACTGAATTCCTTGATTGGCTGCCATTATTTTTGTCATTTTTCCCTGGCTTTGTAACATGGTTTCCAATTTCGTTATATATTCGATAGCACTTCGTAAAATTTCAACCTAAACCTTTGGTTCAGAAGCATTCTCATTTGGCTAATAACAATTTATCAATGTGCAACCATAATATTCCAATTTTTTATCTACCTTAGGTAATCTTTGGTTTGGATTCGGGCACGTCCTTTGTTTTACTACCTCAAAAGCTTCATTCACTTTACGGAGTCGCCGCCTTTCACGCATTGTTGCTGCTTTTCGCCGATCTACTGTAATGATGTTTAATAAATAGTGCCTACGAGTGCTGAAATATTAAACTATAAGAGCAATTAAAATTCCATTTTTATACTAGTGGCTTACGTCTTTTAGGCGTTTGAACGCCATCAGCTTGATGAGCGATCATATTCTGTTGATTAGCATCATTGCCACCTTGCGCAAGGTCGGAATGTGAATCTCCAAGGTCTGATGTTGAGCCGCCAGCAACTGCTAGCAGATCAATCGCTGAAAAATATAAAATACATTGATAGTTCCTTCAAAAAAAAATTCGACTTTTTAAAGAAATGTCAATTATTATTAAAAGAATATAAATTAAGGGCTACCAAAAAGAAATTAATATTGATATAAATATTTCTTATAAATATTTTTTCTATAATTGAGAATAATTTTGAACTCTTAAGAACTTTCACCTTGTCGTTAACCATATTTATAACCATATTTTTAACCATAAATTTTTAATAATTTTCTTTAACTTATCATATCAAAGTGCTTAAATTAGAAGCTTTTTCGTATTTCATATATCAAACATTATTTCGCATATTCACTTTCTCTTCAACAATAAAAAACAATAAATAAGTTTTTTTAATGGATTAAATTGAAAAATAGCGACAAAAAAAGTATAAAAAGTAAAAAATTTAATTTAAAATAGGTTTGATTCGTTTTTTTCCTTCTTTTTTTCATAAGTTGATTGGTGAAATTTCTTGAACGCCATTATACAGCACCGAAAAATCTATTAATCGTCAAAGTTTATAAGGCTAAATTACAATCTTTTAATCCTTGAAACTTCTTCACGAGTCTTGTCCTTCAATTTTTTTCACGATTCTCTTGTCTAAACAATATTTGCCATTCTATTTGCTATGGATTCAATGTTAAGATAGATTATTTGTTGGCTTTTTCGCACATAAACATTATTTAATCCTTCGCTAAATCCTTCGTTTTCATACTCTAAAGATATTCTTCATTCTGAATTATTTGGAAATTATGTGATTATTTGAAAGCTGTAAATTTTTAAGTATTAAAAGAGAACTTTTCTGGTCATTTTTTTTCATTATTTTTTTCTAAAGTCGGTATTATTGTTTATTTATTTGGAAAATCAAGCAGAGCAGTAGCAATGCTCTTATTAAAGCAAATATTCAGCCACCATTCTTTCGATAAATTATATTTTTTCTGCGTAGAAAGAAAGGCCAAAAGTAGAATTAAGAGTTCATCTACGATAATGAAGGCCTCCTAGGCATTCAACGATTTGGCCACAAAGAAATATGCTGAATTTTGAGGTTGAAACTGAATTTTCCTTTAAATTAGTTACTGTCACCTTTTCAAGAAACCAGTGAATAATGATAAATATGGCATTGATGATGGTGCTCTGCTTCATTTTTAGCTTATTTGCAAGAAATTCATCATTCAAATCCCGAAAAAGCGACTGCCCGAAAATTCAGTGTAAATTGAGTGTAAGTGGAAACTTGTAAAAGCATTTTAGGACGTAAAGAGGAATATTCACTATAATTTTCAATACTTACTTTTTGTTGTTTATTTTATTGCTTATAACGAATGTGAAAATTCAACCATCTGATGTCTGATTAAATCTGCGTTTTTGCATAAAATATCAAATGAAATGAAAAAAGAAGGAACGTAAAAACCAGGTCCGCGCGAGAATGTTGATACAAGAACAATTCACAAAAATTCTCCTTTCGATGATTAATATATTAATATACTTGAACATTTGTATGCTATTTGCGATAATGCTGATGGTTTCATGTTGTTACGTTTTTACGTTTTTTATTATAGAACCTTTCTTATATCCCTTCTAATGACTATAGTAATTCAGAAAATATTTGGTAAAGAACAACTTACGATGATCTTTAATATCACGCTCTTGCTTCACATCGACTTCTTTTAATAATGTCAAATCAGTTCGAGCGGATTTGTTAAAGTCGGATCCACTGCGAGTGACGGAAAAAGACGAGAGATCGGGTGAATAAAATGAAGTGGAACCAGTTGCTGGTCCATATGTTGTTGGATAATAAGAAGAATATCTGCAGAAAATCTAGTGGATTAATTAAATAAATGGGAATGGAATGTTAGGAATTCATCGCCATTATTCAGATTACAAAAGCTATTTATATTGAGCTAAAACTTAACAAATTCAGCAATTGCATATTTCCTTTTCGTCCATACTTAGGTCTTTATGGCTAAGTATTTAATTCATTATCAGTCTTCGAACTCTTCTAGAAGCTTTCCTTCTCGCGGCACGCTCTAATAAATTTATTCTTAAAATCTATATCAAAAAATTAAAAATCCCAGCTATTCAGATAGTAGCGTTCACATAATCGCATATAAAGGATTCACAAACAGCCATTTGAATGCAATATTTGCTGACAAATTAATATATTTAATAGACGCTTTTTAAGACTTTTGGAACTCACTAAATAACAGGTAAAGAATAGCATTAAATGAGTACGAGCTTAACTCAATGGACTCTGGATATAAATTACCTTTTAAGCAAAAATTTCTAAGATTATAATGAATAGAAAAAATTATAATAAAAATAATTGTAATAAAGTAAAAATTTTAATTTTTATTAATGCAGCACCTGTAAGGATCATAGGTAGGTAATGGATGCGTGGTAGAGTATTCTCCAAGTGGAGGTGGCTGTGGAGCGAAAGGTGTCAATGTTGTAATATCCGGAGCAGTAGTGAGCCTACCCTGAGGTTGAGTATAACCATACAGTGGATCATATTGGCATCCGTCTGGATTCATCTTAAAAACAATTTTATTATAGTCATTCGAGTAGCACCTGCTTATTCACATTTTTTTCTGCTTTTATTAATCTCATAACCACTTCAATATTGTTTTTCAACCAGTTGTGCGAGATATTTTCTCCGATATTGTCAAGCCAAACAATTGTGGCCGAATATCTTTCCTATTTATATTTATGAAAAAAATGGAACTGAAGCGATTCTATTTGCAAAATACCATTTTGGGATGAAAAGGATGAATAGAACGAAGAATACCTTGAAACTGACAAGGTTTGGCCTTAGAATTTCCATTGGTTTTCTTGAATAATTGAATAATTTTATAATTTTTTAAATAAATAGTTGCTAGAAGAAAATTAATTTGGGGTTTTTCAGTTATTCTAATTTTTTGATAAAATAATCCAGTAGGCTGTTAATTACATCTGAAAATCTACATTGTTAGCCTACTTAGTTTGGTTGATTTTCTAGTATTATATGATGATTTTTCCAAATAGCATAAGAAAATTTGTGAAAACTATATGTTTGCCAAAAAATCGGATCTTCAAATCATAAAGCTATGAAAATTTCTTTTCATGCAGTCGTTTATTAATGATGAAAAATAAAGATTTAGTTTGGTTGGATTATCCTCAAAACGTCTTCCCTGAGAGAGAGCATGATCACTTTATCGTCCACCACAGAAATTGACACGTATTTCATTACTTGCTAAACGTGACGGATGGTGACGAAAGCAAGGTGGGCTAATCAAAACTTAGATTGTCAGGAAAGATTTTGAATGTATAGATGGACCAGCGACATATGGACTTAGATGAATGATGAAAACAGGAATGACATGAAAATGACACCTATTACTGACAACGATAGCTTGGAGACGTCTTATCATCATTTGGAACCAATGGAGCCAGGCAAACCAGTAATGGTGGGAGATGTTAGAAGAATTGGGTTAACTGGAAATGTTTTCTGTTGGACGCTTAGATAATAAGCGAGATTCGAAGAGAAGCTTAGTCCTCTCCCAGTCAAACCTCTCAAAATTTCTAGTTCCACTTATTACTATCGTGAGATCCTTTTGTGAGAGAGTCATTTGGTGAATGCTATTTGTATGAGCATGTTTTATTGTCAAAAACCAATAGAATTGCAATGAAATTTTTTTTTCGCACATTCTTTGAAACAGCCGTGAAGAACAGCCGGCATAGTGGACAAGTGATATTAGTTAACGTGGACAGGAGTGGGGGTAGTTTGGTGCATTATTTGAAGGCAATTGGTCCTTTCGAGGGCACATGTTTCATGGTTAATATGAATTGCAAAGGCCAACTGTTAGATAAAATAAAAGACTTACCTTTAGAAAATTTTGTCAGCTGTGCCACGGGGAAAAGAAAAACGTCGGGCAACTGACTCGTCTTTGAACACAACTGTTCCTACTGTACCCGCCTTAAGTCGTAATCTAGCTAGACTTTAGACGCAAGAGTTTGGCAAAGATATAACGTAGTTTGTGTATTAAAGATTATAACAATGTCAGACAGCGTTGGAAATTTTGTTGTTCGAAAGATTTTGTTCAGATTTCGCAAATTTAAATGTCATTTTGATAGGATAATCCTATTATAATGGTGATATTATAATAGTGATAATAAAATAATCAGTTAACCACATGAATTGATCATTTATTAGTTTGTGTGTTCTTAAGGAAAAATAATTGGAAAAAAATTTTAAAATCCGCCGCAAATTATTTTAGTAATTTACATCACAAATCCGAATTTTCTCGATCAGAATTCTACGAATCTGATTTTCTTTTGTTGTTTTCTTTTTCATTTTTATTATCATTTTATAAAAGTTGTTAAAAGTCGATTCCATTCTGTAGTGGGAAGAGTAGAATGGCTCAGTGCACCATTGCTCCCGTTTCGAGGATATCAGCGCTAATGCTGATATCCTGTTAGTATTAAACCTCTCTTTTAAAAGTCCACAGCTGCTGGCTAAACTATAGTAAACTATAGTAAAATTTTATCATCAATTGGCTCCATAGCAAAATTTTTATAATCCGACAAGTCAGCCTAACCAGAAATGGTGGGCGCTTTTTGAAGGACCATTAAGTTCGTAGTTTCGTTATAAATTGATTGCTGGATATTGACAGTATTTTTGTCAATTGAATCCATCTCTAGTTTAAAATTCTTTCTGCTATGTGAAGTATCATCTGATTTAAATAACAATAGAATAAGAAATGAATTGGTATAAAGCAACAATTATCATTATTGATCAGCGTCATTCACTATTCCTGATTTGGCTGACTCCATAGTCTACTCGGCATGAAACCTCATCGCTAAGGAATCATTCGAAGTTAAAAATACAGGTACACGCAAAATTATGCGAATTTCACAGGTTTATTCGCGTCAAGTGAGAGAAATCAAACGCACGATGCGGCAATTTTGCATTCGATCATACAAATTAAGAACCAAGCATTCCCATTTTACTTTTAATATTTCGTCATTTTATATTTCCGAGTTTTGTACAGTTAAATTTTTGAAATCTTAATTTAAATCGATTTTTCACAAATTGCTTTTTAAATAACTTTTTTCGAAAAAATTAAAAATGGAGCGTTCGAATTTTCCTTTCAATTAGCCATTGTTCATTCATTTCGAAGCAACGATTAGTTTAAACAAGGCATCGCTCATCTTCATTTTTCACTCTTTTCACTGCATTCGACTTAACCAATAGCACAAACTATTGGAATCGAATCAAAGCAAGTTTAACTCTAAATTTCGAAGCGAAATTCCAATAAGTTTTACGAGAATTTTCAAAAATTTAATATAAAGAAGAGAATAATTACATAAATCATCCATTCAACTAATTTTATTAAATAAATTTCACGATTTTCACAGAAATTTGAATTTTACCAGGAAAATTTCTATTTAAATGTTCTTTCCAATCTTTTAGCATTCCTAAATGATGCTGCATTAGAATGAGTAACACTTAATTTAGCAAAATTTTAAAACTATCTATCTATATATGGATAAAATCAGGCTGTGCTGCACCTCCAAAAGCAGTTTTGATTCCATGAAGGATAAGTACCATTCTTACAATTAGTGAAGTTTAAATTTGCCTATTGCCAGAAAATAGTGAAGAACAGGAAAAGACCTTTGTCCACATTTCATTAAAAAGTAGAACAATTCTGAGTTTATTTTATATTTAGCGATGCATTTCACTTTGAATTCATTTAAAATGAATTTATTTAAGATATTTTTATATTTGTATTTGGTTTTTGGTTCTCTTGAGAATTTACTGAAACGCTTTCATGTTCAATAATACAGTATCAAATTAGATTATCATTTCAAGCATCACAATAATTTGTTTCTCCATTTATTGTCCTCGATGGTATTTCATTCATAGAATGAAAAAGGCTTTTTCTTTTTTTGTTTGAAAACATTTTTCAAGAGAAGTAAAATAAGATAAATGAAATTGGCTATATTTTTTTTCTAAGAGAGTTCACCACTTCTGCATCGGCTGCGCTTGTTCGTTGGAGCAGAGGAACCAAGGTATCACATGGCGATAGAAATAGTAAATCGCCGGATTTTTGGATGGATAGATTTATTTCTGTCAAGAGTGACGACACTCTGAAATGAGAATAGAGTTCCCATTTTCTGATTACGTGAAAGATTTGAAAAATGTCGATGAATTCTGAATAAGCTGACCGTATTAAACTATTAAATTTTTTTGTAACATGATTCTATTCAAAGCGATAGCAAATATATCTTCGAAGTTTCGGCGAAAAATACCTCAACATGATCGCGTAGATTATTATTACCCGGTTGGAGATTATACAGTATCCACTTCTATACGACTTTGAAAGCCGCTCGCTGATTATTCTCGACTTTACACTTCCTATTCGTTTTCATCTTCTTAATGTTGTCTTCCTTAGATCCCAAACTGATTTATTGCTAACTAATCTATCGATTAATATGTACGATTTGTAATATGAAGAATATACGAATGGAGGAGAATTTCAGAATTCGATTGTAAGCAGTGTAGTTATAAATGCATTTAAATATTTTTGCAGAAAGAATCTTCACGTTTGGTTCAAATTTCAAAAAAAGAATTATATTAATAAATATAATTGTTTAATTGGGAATTAGTGCCGATGCTGAGGTTATATTTCGAGCAGATATAAACTTATCATCTAAAAATCCGAGCTGTGCTTGCGACTCATTTGTATTTCTATCGCCTTCTAACTCCTTGGGTAGCATTTTGTCGATTTTGATAAACAAGCTAGGCGAATTTAACTGAAAGTTCACTTATTTATTTTTCAGTATATACGTAAAACTTCAATAGATTTAATGCTAATAAACGAGAATAATTAAGATTTTTTTCGATAAATTCACTTCGAGAAAATTAATACCAAGAAAGATATGCACAAGGAAGATGAAGCGATCGTAAATAACTTCCATAGTGTAATTTCATTGCGCTTTGATTGACATTATTTAGCTCATTCTGTTGACCATTTGCGCTTCTGCTCTTTTCGGATTTTAATGAGCCAAGAATGTTCACAAGAGATCTGTTGCGCATAAATCAATGAACTTTTCCTGGTCCATTTTTTGTGGATTGCAGCATAAACCATCCGACTGAAATAATGACATATAAAAGACATTCAATAAAAAATCAGCTATTGGAATTACCTCGGAGTTTTTTAATTTCTCTTTCCTAATATTAAGATATAGATAAATCAACTGAATGATTGAATGAGTGACAAACAATTTCTTATTGGCCATGTTACGTTTCTTTGTGGTAGAATTATAGAACTATGAATTGAGAAAGATCGCCAAAAATTAAAATTTATCTATCGAAACAACTAACGGCATAAACGGCATCTTTTTAGCCCTATAAGATTCTCGCGTTTGAATTCAAAACGTTTCATTAAACAAATAAAGATGGAGTCAATTTTAAGGAAAACATTTTTTAATTAACATACATTTATGATTTCTTCTCCGGAAACATGCATGCGCAATGCAAATGACATGCAGA